AAGTTAACAAAAAATTTATTCTTTCCACAAGAGATAAATCAAAATGCTGAAATATTTCTTCAAAAATATTCTAACAATATCACAAAATGTCAAACGTTTAGCAAAAATCAATTCAAAACAGAGAAACTAATTCTATTTCACAGCGAAATCGTTACAAATCAATCACAGCATTAAGTAAACAAACAGTTCGCTAGAACTACAGCTACTACTGAGATGAGTTTTTTGTTCTCGGCTTTTATAAGCTTTATAATTAATTTCTTGAATATACTGGAAACATCTATAAATATCTGCATTTTTGTGAATGGCAACAGCAATTACGAGATATTTATTTATTAGGTATTAAATGCACGCGCTGTTTTATTTTTAACCTTCCAACGCAGCTGTCTTTTCAAAAATCGTCTGCGTTGCTGAGGCAACATGAAGCAAATCTAATTACAATTCTAAATAAAAAAACTAAATAAATAAATAACTATGAAATCCGTAACAATAGGAATTAAGTAATAATTAATAATAAAACAAAGTGCATGCACATGCATGCGCCAATATATCGTACAAAACTATGATTGGAAAACTGAGACCATGAGTTCGGCACACATTCGGCTATCAGGGGGATGCGTACAAGGTTCTGAGTGCACGTGTCCCCCAAAAGCCGAAGGTAGCTGAACGCAAGCTACTCACACGCATTTGTAATTTAAGTAGTGTGTGTGTCAGCTCGCTGTGAGTAATCTAACAACATTGAATAAATTATCGTTAATTACTTAGCAGTAAACATTTCATTTTTTTCTTCGTCGATATGTTATTTTATTATTATATATTATTATTTGCCGATATATTGGCCGGGCCGCAAAAATATTTGTTGTGGGCCGCGAGATTGACATCCTTGATGTAAATCAACGGAATACGTACTCAAGTAGGAAGTACTCAAGTAGGAATACGTACTCAAGTAGGAAGATAATTTAGTTCTCCTTCTAAGTTTTTTTTTTTTTTTTTCAAAATTATTCTTTAACTGTCATTTAATTACTCAGCATTACGAACTTTATTTTACTCAGTAATCTTTAATATTTTTAGTCTATAATAAAGACGTAACCTCTGAAATTTGGATACAAAAGTCTTATTAAAGAAGTCCAGAAACTCGAACCAAATTCAATTTAAATAATAGTAAAAATGAATGAAATGTTAACAAAAGTTAGTAATAAAAGTTAAGTCATAGCATAAAATGTAATAAATAAAAATGTTTTAATCAAATAATAAAGCGACTAAAAATAAGAGGAAATATATAGCAAAATGTGATGATGAAGTTAAAGAAGCAAATATTTTGAACACCATTTTCATATCTCATTTAAAGTTTTATACATTATTAGATGCGTAATTTTTACTTTAAGTTTTATATTTCTCATTCAGTTTTAAATACTTTAAATAAATGCATTTCTTCATATTTAAATAATTTTCTGTCGACAGAAAATCAGATGCAACGTTTGTTAAAAGTAAACAAACCCATGAATGATGATTATGCACTTAATGTGAATGGCAACTTCAAGAAATTTTCATCGTATAACATAATGTTTTTAGAAAGGAAACACAAGCTATTTTAGAGGATAAAATAATCAAACTTAGCTAAAAGTCCTTTTATATTATTATTATTATCTTATTTTAGTTAATGTCTAAAAATCTGATTGATCTACTTTTACTAGAAAATTAAGTAAAGATATTTGAATAGCTGTAGAACTATTCATCTTATCACTTAATTTGCGACAGCTGGCGTTTGTTTTATTAAGATTTCAGCGAAGATCTCAAATTTGAATCAGCAGAAAACAATATTTTTCTAGAATGTTCAGGGTGATTAAAGAGTAGCTGACGTTCTTTAGCAGTTAGCTTCTTTCCGATCTCTAGTCAGGTTTGAAATTAAATGAGGGATTCAAAGAATATCTTTTCCAAATAGTACAGAAAGCTTTAATGTTTGCATTTTATCTGTACTAAGGCATTTAAAATAAACAGTGAACCGAAAGTCCTTTCTTGTGGTTTGGTGTTAAAGAAGACAGTGGAAGACACACGGACCTTTCCCCAGATTACTTCTCATCAAAATTTGGAGAATTTAACAACTAATGTACAGAAACTACACCTCTAGTGAAATGAACTTTATATACAGAAAATAAAACTGAAACACAGTTTTACTTACAGTAGTAAAAAAGTAGAAAAATAAAACATATTATTTCAAACAACATATATAAATTCATTCCTTGAGCTATTAAATGGGTAGGCCGTATTAACGAAGGCCTTGAGGTTGGTTTTTTGATATTACTATATGTCTCAGATTTTGCGAGAGGAAGATCACCTCTTTTTACTTTATCAAATCGACTGCGATTTTTTGTCAATAATTGTATGACACGATTAAAGCCACATTCTACTAGATAAGATGATGAGAAAACAATGACATACATTTTAGCTTAACAGTGGGTACTAGTGAGGAGTCGGTACTACCGAACCGAGTATTTTGTAACGGGTACTTAGTTGTAACGGGTACTGAAAATCGGTACGTCCAAGTACCCGTTACTTCAGTACCGAAATCGGTACTTTTCGGTATTCGTTACTTCTGTACCGAAACGGGTACTTTTCGGTATTCGTTACTTCTGTACCGAAACGGGCACTTTTCCGTATTTGTTACTTCTGTACCGAAACGGGTACTTTTCGGTATTCGTTACTTCTGTACCGAAACGGGTACTTTTCGGTATTCGTTACTTCTGTACCGAAACGGATGCTTTTCGGTATTCGCAACTTTGTAACGAAAATATGCGCCTCTTCTCGGTATTTCGGTATTCGTTACTGGAGGATCGATGAGGGTTCAGCTCACTTCGGTTTTGGTACGAGGACAGTAGTATCTGGTTGTATTTGCGAAATGGTGATATGCGCTCCTTGAGTCCATGAATTGCCTGCTGCTCCTCAGACACTTCCGTAGTTGACATGTTTTCTGATATTCAAAATCTTACTCCGTACAGATAAAATCAAACACGTGGTGACGTGGCAGAGTTTCTTCAGTGTGCAAAATCGTTAGCTGCGTATTTCAATACTCCAAATCGTTACTAGGGCACTGTGGTACTCCAAATCGTTACTAAGGTACTTCGGTACTCCAAATCGTTACTAGGGTACTCCAGTACAGCAAACCATTACTCCGGTATTTCGTTACTTCGGTACTCCAAATCGTTACTTGGGTACTCGGTACTTGAAATTGGTTTTCGGTACTTTTCAAAGTAACGGTTACTTGAGTAACGGGTATTTTGTACCGTGTACTTGTCTGTAACCGTTACTCTCGTACCGGGTGTAAGAAAGTACCGAAGTTGCTCATCACTAGTGGATACTGACATGTAGTGTCATTATTGTTTTTCCTCTAGTAACTCAATTTCAACATCAGCAACTTTTGTCTGAAATGAAATCAGGACCCAGTCTGAGATATTTAATTCTAGTAGCCCTCGAAACGAACTTGCAATCCTTCATAATTTTTTTAATGTTCAACATAGGCAGCAAAATCCTCATCTTTTAAACCGCTGCTGACTGAAGGAAGGTTTGGAAACTGGTCAAACGCAGCGGCATGGAGATGTTGGATTGTATAATTTGAGATTTCGTAGGAATGCACTGATGGATTCTTTTCATTATATTAAATCACAACTAGCTTATTAAGAGAATTAAATTTTTTAAACACACCTGAAAAAAGTATGATCCAGTTTGTTTCTTCCTTGAGAACTGTAGAAAATACTATTATTCTTTCCACTGCACCTTGTCTTCAAATGGTAACATTACTTGTCTTTATGCTATCATTAAAAAGCGCAGTCTTTGATATAAGACCAATTGAATCTGTGATATTCTATGGAGATTCAATAACCTCAAATATTTAATGTTGAGAATGCTTGTAGGCAGCGATGTATTTTAATCCCTTTCAACGGAGATACTCTAAGGCAGTATGGCTTGAAAGGCAGGTACGGGTGGTGATGTAACTTCTTTCAGTCAAGAAAAAATATAAGAATAGCTCCTTAAATAATATTAAAAATATAAGTCTGCCTTCCAGAAAACTGAGCATCTTTTAACCTCAAATTTCTGACTTTTCTGTAACATTAGTTTATATTAATATTATTATTAAATTGATTTACTAATAATATTTCAGAAAGTTAGTTCATTTTATGGACCCCTGAAATACAGTTTCTTTCTTGCAATTTCTATAAATTCTTGGTGGGGGGGGAGTTCATGAGAACCCCAGTTGGAAAACGCTGTGTTGGATTTCATATTCAGTGCATGATAGAATTTTACGAACCCATGGGTATTTTATGGGAAAATACAATTTAGATGCAAATACTTTTAAATTTTATTTTTATTACCCATTATACGTAATCTAATATTATAAATATAAATTATTTTTGCATGAGTAAAGTGTAGCATTTTCTACTATAAGCTCAAAGGTGGGAGACAATCCGATGCACATTTTGAAGAGTATTTCCGCTCCGATTTTCACAGCTAATTGTATAAACATCAAATTGATTGAATAAGTAATAGAATTTAGTCATTTTGCGTTTTGACTCAGATATGAGCTGCCAAGTAAAACTGAAAATAAATTTCAAGCACTATAAATTTAAAATGCTTTGAATATAAGAATGCTTAATAACTTTTTAATAAAAGAAATAGAACTGCATTGTTGTGTAAAAATTTTATCTGTTTCATAATATACCGCCATTTATTTATCATCATGCAAAGAATTTGTCACATTTTTTATCTTAGTCATCCAAACGGTGCTGTAGGGTCAAGAAGATATTCATTTTGGTTATCAGAAAAGAGATACATAATAACACGTTTTGGTTATCATGAAAAATATGCATAATCGCACTTCTTGAAAACTGGAAGTAAATATCTCAAATATGAATTCAGCTGAAGTTGGAAAACAACTGCATGAATTGAACCAAACCGCGAGATAAGTTGAGCCGAACCGTAAACCGTATTAGGACGAAGTATTTCTTTCCTTTTTGCGTTTACCGCTATAAATGATACACCTGGGTTCGCGCACGTGCTGAGGATTTGTTTATATTTATTCTGAAATTCCAAATTTTCAATGATAAATTATGAATTTTAAAATAAGTTTTGCTTCCGGAAGCAATTTTCCACATATAATTTTTTTATTTTTGCGTTGCGTTAACTCCTGATCAAAATATTATTATCATATAAGTAAGTCATCTGAAATTGATAATTATAATTGTCTTGTATTTTAAATGACTAGTGTAATGTTTCGTATATTTTTATGTAATGTATAAATTTTGGTATACCGTACAAATAATTTATGTGTAATATTCCATACTCTTTTTTTTTTTTTTTTTTTTTTTTTTTTTTTTACATTACGTTTTGCTGATATAGTATACTTGCATTCTATATGTAATCGTGGAAGTTTCCTACGTTGTGAGCTATGTGCGTTTCTTAGTTTGGTATTAATCTTCGAAGTGTTTAATTAAACACGAGTTTATGAATTGCATATGAAAAATTTGTGATTAACTTTTAAATAAAAATCGTGCTGTATTATTATTTGTTTATACTATTAATGAATAATTAAACATTTTTTGAGATATTAATAATATAGTGAAAAATATTCAACATCATATTATTTCATTCTGTGGGACGTAAATATTAATCCATATAGTTGGATTTAATACAACAGTAATAGTGAAGTTCATATTTAATGCGGGAGAAAAGTTAAGAATTTTATATAACAGTATGATGTAAATAAAGTAAGTTGATACAAAGAATTGTACTTTCACATATTACTATTAACTAGCAACTTCTGATATTTTAGAGATAAGAAAATAGAGTTAATTCATGGAAAATATGAATTCGAATTTTGCAACTTAGGCAGGTAAATACTTTTGTGAACTGATTATTTAATTTACATTTTACTCAGTACAGTTGTTAGAGTTAACTGTTACTTAGCTAATGTAATGTTTTCTTATATATTAAAACACTGTATTAATGAAGAAATAACCACATAGAATATTTTCCTGATCTTAGGAATGTACTAGTAAAATGTCTGAAATAATTAATGAATGTTCATCTAATTTTATCTGACTGGAATTTTTTTCCTGATATTAAATGCAAGTAAATATTTGCCCCAGTTCTTATTAACTAGCATTTATTAGATATATTTTTGTTGAGCTTTTTGTCAATAATACAAGCCATTTTTCTTTATGAAATTTTTCAGAATGGTATTCATTCCTCAAGCAAATAATCCTTGCAATCTTGGTCATGATTGATTAAATAATCAACATTTCATTTAGTATATTTTTTATGATTCAACAATTAGGAATGCAAATTATTGACTAATTTTCCATTTACAGTTCTGACATTCAGTAGTAAGATTTGAGATTAATGCGCAAGCAATTAATTCTGATAGTGCATATTTTCAGAATGATCTTGTCCCATATTGATCTTTATAAATTAACACTGTTTTTCTTGGTTATATTGTTGGGCGTTTCTCTTGAAATTATCTTCATATTTTTAGTAAATCAGTTTTGAAGATTTTCAGTTCATTCTTTATAAGTTGTATCATTATTATTTTTTCAGTTCTTTTTTTGTTCATTATATATATTTAAATTCGGTGAGGTGACTGAAGCTAATGATAAAATTCCTTAAATTGAGAATACTAATTAAGTCAAAAGGTTAAAATAAGCATATAGATGTATGATCATAAACAGTGCAATATTTGTGTACAATGTGTTTCTGCACATCTGTGATACACAATATTCAGTATGGAAATCTATAAAGTGAATAGATGGAAAATATTTCTACTCTAGATTTTTTTCTCAAAGTTTCTGTATAGATTTCCTTTGAAATTATTATATACTTCATTAGAAATTTTTCAGTCTCTAGAGATGGAACATTATCCGGTGTGACTTGTTTGGCTAGACTGGAGATTACGGGCCGCCCAGTCACCAAGTTAAACGAAATCGTGTGAAATCGGGTAACCTCCATTTTTTTTTCGGATCATTGCTTTGTTTTATTATTGCATTATACTCTGAAAGTTAAACAGTCATTGTGAATAAATAGATGCATGATCTGCAAATTAATAATCTTATGAACTTTCATATTATCTTTCAACAGTATGTCTTCATAACTAATACATAGATCTCATTTGATTCTATAACATATGATAAAAGTACATATCGCATGATAAAAATCATTTTTTCAAAGGAATTTTTGATAGGGTTCAAAACTAACTTTTTCGTCTGATTCTAGCAAATATGATTCTAACTTGATTACAAGCAGAGCTTGATACATAGTTTAAAAGTCAATCCCTAAATTAGTTCACTTTCAAGAAAAATTTGGAAGACATATTATTAGACAGCTTAATTAGGATAAAATATTCATTAATTCAATATTTTTCACTTGACTTCTTTTGGGAAAAGAAGAACATTTTTAAATCAAGATCAATTAAAAATAATAATTTAGAAATTTATGACAGTTAAGTAATTTGCTATATGTTTGGATAACTTTATTGAAAAAATTTTTCAGATTGATGATTTTATATAATTTTACGAATAGATCATGAATTCAGAGTTCAGTTTATACATGTAAGGTAATTCATATAGCTACTCTATATTAAAATTTGCAACTGCTTATTACAAATTTTGAAGATTTTATAAGGTAAATTTAGGGTATGCAGTATCTTGTGATTTGCTATATGATTTAAAGGGGTAAGTAGTTTTTACATTATTAAAAAAATTACATTCTTAAAGTTTTGGAACAGTAGAATGCCAAAATGAAAATTTCTCATTTAAAAATGAAAAAAAAAAAAAAGTAATAAGAAATACAAATGACTTTTTTTTCTTTTCAAATTTATACTGTCATGGAGTAACTAATGCAATAAAATTGAGAGAAAAAATTAATTGAAGGATAACTTGTAATCTGAATATTTTAACTATGATGTTATAGATACTAAATTATCTCTTAGCTTTCCTACTGTCCACTTCACAAGATGTGTGACTATGAACTGAATAGCTGCCTTTATATAGGTTTAGCAGAATACTGGTGCTTTAAAAATATATATGACATGAACATGAGTGCCTTTAAGACCGCTGTAAAAAGTTTATGGAGATAATTATATCTATCAGTGAGCCCATGTTTAATGTGGATGTTATCCAGTGTCCTTTTAAAAGTCCTCCACAAAGGCATCCCTCTCCATAGACACCCCATAAGTTGCTTTGCATTTACCTAACTTAACCATCAATGAACTCATATCTTGTAATATCTGTAAAAGTGATAGTTTAGAAAACCTTTCCAACAATAAGTTGTCTTCAAAACTGATGTGGCAGTAGGCATTGGACAAAATAATCTGCAAATATAGAATTTTTTGAATGCAAGGCAGTTGCTGCCTCTTTCTAAAGATTTTGCTTGGACATTAGATAATCCCATCCTTTAATGTTTTAAACTATTTTAATTACTATGATGAAAGCAAAACACATGCGAGATTAGGCATTGTGAGTTTCCTTCTAATCTTCTGGGAAACATTCTACATCGTAGAACTTTATAGCATAGCAAAGCAGGAGCATGAGATTTAACTCGGAACATAAACACTATATTGATAAAGCCTAAAATCTAAATTATGCAGCATTATTATTCATTTTTTATTTAGAAATGCAGATGTAGAGGGGAAGAAATTATGAATAATGTATTGCGTCTTTTGATGATGAGCATCACATGAATGAAAAATTACCATTAAGCATATAATTTTCATTAAAAAAAACTCGTAAACAATATTTCATTTAGTTTAACGGTTAATTTTGCATCTATGACATCTATTTCATAAGTATAAAAATTATGTATCCATAATAATTGATAATGAACTTCTTATTTGAAAACGGGCAAAGTTTCTTAATTGTAAAAAAGGGATTTGAACTCTTATTGTTATTATATTAAATCTTTACAGTTGATCAGAAATTATTTATATCTGCCATAAGAATTTTTCATCATTTCTGCACAACATTTTCTACACATTACTGCCATTTTGAAATCGAATTTAACATATGTAGATGTATTGTCAATCTAATGTTTGTATAAAACTTTATAATGTTTGTCTTATGTATACTTATAATGCATCAATAAAGTTTTAACTCTAAGTTCGTGCAAAATTGAAAGGTGAAGAAAACTTTTTTTTTGGGGGGGGGGGTAAATCTGTCAGCATTTTAATACAGCTGCTTAGTTTCTGTTGCAGAACTTATCTTTTGGAATACTGTTTTAATGTGTGGGTATGGTTTCTGCTTCTGTTTAGTGTTATGAGATGAGACTACTTTGGAAGGGGAAAGTAGTCTGCAGGTTCCAAAACTGATTAATCAAAATTAATGTATCTTACTTAGATCAAGTCATAACGTCCAGGTCTTGCTGTTCTGATTGCAAATAAAATTCTGCCTGCAAATAGATAATATTTTAGGAAAAGTAAATTGACATATCATAGAAATAAATGTAGCTCACATTTTATGCTGGTACTTGTTTAATAATTGGTCCTTAAACTTTCTAAATGCACTATGTGCAGTTTGTTTCTAAATCATTTTTATGTGCAATTTGTTTCTGAATCAATAATCATCTATTGACTTTTTTTTTTTTTTTTTTTTTAGGCTCAGTTATGGAACCACAGTCAGCTGAAGTCCTTTGGATTCTTATACTAGGCTTCATTGTTGGATTTTGTTTAGCATTTGGTGTTGGAGCCAATGATGTTGCTAATTCATTTGGCACATCTGTCGGTGCTAAAGTTCTAACATTACGTCAGGCATGCATCCTTGCTACCATATTTGAAATACTTGGCTCTGTTTTAATGGGTATGTAAAAATGCAGTGTATGAATATCTACCTTAGTAAAGAAAAAATGGGGTATTATCACTTTTGTAAGTTTTGGGGGGGAAAGTGTATTAATTTCAGTAATTTAATCAAATATGTGAAACTGAAAAAATGTATCCTTATGGGTTTAATCTTTCTCTTTATTTGAAAGTATAAAGAACAAACCTTAGTTATTTTTATTAATAATTTAATATACATATCACTAAACATATTATTAGTATTAAATCCTTTCCATTTTAAAATACATGTATTGATTGCATTGCTATCTTAAAAATAATGTAATAGCTGAAGGACATAGAGCTTTTTTTCTATAATGAAGTTATAATTTTATTGTGATGCTGCAAAAATCTCAAATTTGAACATTTAGGACATTCTCTTAAAAATGTTTTGAAGTTCGAAAAAAAAGATTTTTTTTATCATTTGTATCTTTAGATAAAAATAGTGATCTGATAGAGCATCCATTCATTGAACAGGAACTAACTAATAACTGCATTCGTAAAGTGCTTTCCAAAATATGGGTCAAGAAACATTTTTTTAATGAGTAGCAGAAAATTTAATATTTTCTGTTATGTAATTATACATATTTATTAATTGTTAATAATTATTTCTGTCTTGTTGAAAAAAGTAATCATCACAGTTTTCATTCAACTGTGATATCCATCAGCTTTCCAGTGTATCCAAGTAAATCCACCCAAATGCATACCAGGTGAGCTCATTGAGCCATTGTAAGAGATTCCTCTATTTCAGCACCATAAAACTTTGTATTGGTTACATAATATACTTTTTATGAATTTTAAAATTGGTTTATGGAAATACAAATAACCCTGTATGTATTGGCATGCTATGACAAATGAGACCGTGAAAATGATAAGTGTCAGTTAATATGAAGTTGCAAGTACAGAAAGTGTTTACACATTTTTAGAACAGTTTCATTGAAAAAATTTGAAAAAAAGCAAATGTCTTGGAATTAAAATTTCTGGCAACAGCTTGTTATTTGAAATGAGAAATACCATCTGCTATTTTTAAATTTATTCTCCTTTCAATATATCACATGTAAGCAAGTTGTGGATCAAAGGATATGCTTTCTGAAGAGAAAGATTTCTATTCCATAGCTCAAAAATGTGAAATGCATATTATTAAAATTTTGAAGTACAGAATAATAAGCAATATTATTTATTGAACAGCAAAAAAACTGTAAATTATTATTTCTATATGGAAAGATTTCAAACGAACATCAGAATAGGGTCCATACCGTTTCTAAAGTTAAATTATTGGTAACAAAACGAAATCCACCCACACAGTAATCAATTGCAAATCTTTAAATTCATCTGTAGTTACAATAAATAAAATAATAAACCAATATTTATAACTTAAAAAACTTTATATAGTCCAGAGATCCTATCAGATCAAACATTTAAAAAAGTACTCCTTAGATTGTAAACATAATTATTATTTTTTTTTTTTTTTTTTTCTTCCCGCCTAAAACTTCCACTGATTCCAAATGAATACTGTTATAATCTACATGTATTTCTCCACCAATATGTGGATGTATGTTTTCTACCAGTAAATGGCTGCACTATCTCCTTTGATGAATGAAATAATACTAGTTTAAATTTTACTTTGTTTCAATAAACATGTCAAAGCAATTTCATTTTTGCAACAATTAAAGTGAATTAACAGTATCATATACTTTTTCATTTTTTAATGTTTATAAGAAGTATTTTAAATATTTCTTTAAAATGTTGGTGTTTTTATTATTGAAAGTCATGATTCCAAACAGGGCTGTGGAGTTGGTAGGGAAAGTGGCCGACTCCAGCTATGACTCCTGGAATTTTAAAGACTCCGACTCCCTCATATATATGTAAACCTATACACATGTATTACAGCTTACTTTTTTTTTTTTTAATATAAAAGAAGCAATAAATGCTACAGAAAAGGAAAAAAAATAATGGCATAGCAGATTATTTATATTAATTAGTATTTATTATGAAATGAAAAAACTGGCATTAGTAATTTCTAAGAAACAATATAGCTTTGGCAAGACCTTCGTTGATAAAGAACCGTAGATCTGATTTCATAAACTTCAGAGCTGAGAATAGTCTTTCCACACTAACTTAAGTAGGAGGAAGAGCTGTTACTCTTAGGGCTACTTCTTTTAACTTTTCACGGTAGATTTGTGTTTGTTCTAAAAGAGGTGTCTTGCAAGAGCGATCATATTTCTCTATTTCTTCAAGGGCTGTTTAGAAATCTTGTTTGTATTTTTTCAGTCTTATATCTAAAGTCTCTTGGTTCTTTATTTTCATTTGCTTTGCCGTAGCTTTTTCAATATTATCCAAATAGTTCTCAATTCTTCAATGGAAGAGGATGATAGAGACTCGGTTGCAATGCCTGCAGTCTGTTTTGATTTGAGTACTCCTGTTCTTCTGAGAATGTTTTCATTGTCAGTAAAAGTTCATAGATGGCTTTCTTTGCTTTTTTAATTTGTTCATCATTCAACAAAATTCAATGTTTTGGATCTACATATATTATATTGAACCAGTAAGATCTCATTGTCTTGCAAGCTAGTTTCTGTTTTTTTCATTAAGGAAGTGATTCCTTCTGCAGTAAGCCATTCCATTTTAGAAAGAACAAACATCACATTTTTCCATTCTTGCAGAAACAAGCCTCCTATTAATTCTTCAGATCGTAGCTTTTTTATGGCTATACACCATGTAGAAGAGCTTCCAATTCTGCAAGATCATTCCATAGTCTTTGCTGGTGAAAACATTGGGATATCTATCTTCTAAAAAAAGTTCTTAATTCTAACAAAACTCTTTATCATCAGATATGTACACTGTCTGTGTGTGGGGGAAACAGTTCTATATCTTCCTTTCAACTGGGCCGATTGACGAAATTCAACTTTCATTTTTCACGTCTCAAAAGCGCGACTTAGGATATTATTAGATTTATATATAGGGTATGATACAAAATTGGACTTTTTCTGAAATAGCATCCCAATTTTTTCCATATTTCAATTTTTTGGCTCAAATTATGCCTGAATATTAAATTTTATAAAATTTGGTGGGAAATTTACAGACAAATTCAAAAATTTATCTTGCCAAAGTTTTCTCAGTTTGTGCCAATAATAATTCTCTTTGCTTGAATTATTATCACATATAACAAATATGCCAAATTTCAAAATGGCCCAATATATAAAAATTCATGTATATCTCAGGAAATTTTGAATAAAAAACTCAGTACTATTCGGTTTTGAGGGCCGTAAAAAATCGCCAAACTATTGTTGATGCCAGTGCTGCCAAAAATTATTGCGGCAACCCTATTGCAAGAAAGGGAAGTTAGAATAGTAATAAAACATCTAAGATGATGTTTAAATTAGGATGGAAAGTTAATTTAATATTATAATACTTTTTTAGTAGTTATAATTTATATTTTAAAAAAGGCCTTTTGTGTAAACCCTCCTGAAATGGGAAGTATAAAGAAATAAAAATTAAATTCATTATTATAAATTATATAAAGATTGCCTAAAATAACTGAATGACAGCCCATCCATTTTCGCTACTACCGAGTTATTTGGAAAAGGGGGGGGGTTGGGGGCAGACGACAATGGGCCTAGACGAAAAGATGAAAAAGTAAGAAATAGGAAAATGAAAAATTAAATACAAATATCAAAAAAAAAGAATTTAAAATCAAAAACTTTTTTTTTTTTTTTTTTTTTTAAAAAAATTAATAGTATTTCAAATGGAGTCTGAAGAAATATAAAATCCAGTTTTTACGAGTCTGACAAATCACATAAGAAAATTAAATTTATAAAACAATAAATTAAAAAAAAAAAATGGAAAAAATAGTCCAAAAAATCTAAAAGAGGTTATGCTAAAATATCAAATAATCAAAAAATTTATAGATGACCATAAAAAAAAAAATTTGAAAAATTTTTTAAAAAATTCATTTAAAATGCAATTTTAAAATAAACCATAAAAATAGATGTATTTATTGGAATGAACTAAATTCGAATTCTGTTAGAAGGAATCAAGGAAGTTTAATAAAAGAAGACATATAAATAAATATATATCAAATTCAATATTGAGGAGCTAAAATTTTGAGAGCTAATTTAAAAAAAAAATTCTTGCGATTTTTATAAAACTTGGCAGTTTGGCATAATTTGAGTCGTAGAATCAAAGTATGGAAAAAATGCTGGCATGTCATTTCAGATAAAGTCTGATTTTGTGTCAAAATACCTATATTAGAACAATGCTGCATATAAATCTAATACATATCCCAAGTCACGCTTTCAAGACATGAAAAACGCAAATTGAATTTTGTCAATCGATATATATAGTAGAACGGGAGATATAGAACTGTCTCCCTTTTTTTTTCACAGTGTTCTTCCCCATCCCATTGCTCCTTTTCCTACTCACCTCCTAAGAATTGCTTCACTTTTGGGAGTCCTTGCTGCTATTGCTGCTTGCCTAAATTTAACAATGAGATTTGTAGTATTTGATGTATTTTCCAGCCATGGGCTCCTTTTTCTTGTTGTGAATTATGCTACAACAATGCAATGCCATCTATGAGCTGAAGAAGTTGTAGAGGCATTAGGTATTTTGGAAGCAGGAAAGATGAAAAATGAGCAAATGGCTTCGCCAGGAATCAAACCACGGACCTCTGGAATACCGGCCCAGTGTGCGGACTACCACACCAAGGAGGCGGGAGAAATACCTTATATACTTCCCCTTTTAAAAGGCGATGAAAACCCACAAACCTATGGGAAAATACATCACACCTGCAGGGCCACTGTAGAAAGAAGGGGAAGCAGGTGGAGAAAAAGAGAAATGTTTTCGGGATAAAAAGACCTCTGAACGGCCCAGTGCAGCCCCACCACGTGGGAAGGTGGGGGTTGTTAAGGAAGTGAAGGTCAAATATCACATCCATCCTCCTCCCTTATATTTATTTATTAATATGTCAATCAAATGGAAAATAACTAAATATTATTAATGTATATAGTTCATAAATAAAAATAACTCAGTTTGTGATTAAATGTTTTTCTAATTCACTTTAATTTCATTTCAAGTTGAAACTGTCCAACAAAAACAGGAGTCGGAGTCAACGTCTTTTTAGCGACTCCAGTTCTGACTCCATTTACCCAGAAATCTGCCTAAATCCTGATTCCGGCTGACTCCACAGCCCTGATTCCAAATGGCATCAGTAAGAGTTGAATAGAACTCAACATCTCATAGATGCTGTGTTGCTTCCTTATGATTTGCACTGTTATTACTATTATTTGCTACTTTGGAGATATATTTATGACTAAACATAGGATTTATTGTTTTATGTGATAATTTTTCAATATGTCAAAGCATATATCAGAAATTTTATCAATTGATCTGGCAGTTTATTTGATGATGAATGGAGATTTTTCAGATGTTGAATTGGAAGATTCCAGTGAAGAAATTAGTGAAAATGTTACACAGAATTTATCTATGGATGGTGAAATCCAGAAAGGAGTTAATAATCAGTCAATTGATGTAGCTCAGTTTATATCTGTTGGGAATAAATAATTGAGATCCAAGTAGAAGAGGAACAAGAAAAAATGATAGATGCTGAATATGAAAATCATTTGGAAGAGGATGAACTAGAAATTATGAAATTAGATAGTAGTAAAAATCCTGAGCCAACTAGTGAGACACAAGGTAAGAAAATAAGTAATTCAAAAAAAGAAATTGATTGAAACTGTTCCTTGGGTACAAAAAGATCATCAGAACTTTGAGTCTATATTTCAAGGACAATTTTCAGCTACACTACTTGAATTATTTACACCATATGAATACTTTACTCTTTTTGTGATGACAATATAACTGATAATTTGGTCAATCCAACTAACATATATTCATGTGAAAAAACAGCAAATTCAATAAACACAAATAAAGCTGAAATGGAGGTATTTCTAGGAATTCATTTCATGACGGGCCTTGTGTCGATATTGGCTTGCAGCTGTAGTAATAGCATGATGTTATTACCCAACAAGATTCCTCGTGATTGGAGATGTTGTGCCTCCAAATAATTTTCAATCTTCATGTCTCTATCTTGTCAAAGAAAACAACAAAAATATACCCTGTAGTCAATCTGGTCATGGCAGACTTTAAAATTAGGCCTATGATAAAAGCCTTTTGTGAGAACTTAAAAAAATTAGATAAAGAAGAGCATGTTAGTGTTGATTAAAATCCAATGCAAGGAGACTAAAGCAATGTATCAAAAATAAGCCACATAAGTGGAACATAAAAGTTTTTGCAGTGTGGTTTAAAAGTAGATATTTAATATGGAAAACTTTTAACTTTTTAAATCGTTTCAGATAAAATACTCGTATGTTGTACTATTTCGTTTTGAGAAACGTAAAAAAATTGCAGCGAAAATGTATGCTCAAAAGACGCTAGCAAAAAACGAGCGCCAAATCTAGCGTACGCCGTGATTCAGATGCTTAAGTTATATAGTTTTATTTCTTAAATGCATTGAATACTAGTTTATTTTAAATCATTTTGATATCATATGGATTTAACAATTTGGAATTGCCATGACAACAAGTCGCAATGGAATTTTCGGTAAAGTGCAGAATCACTCGCTGCTTGACGCATTTTTAAGAATTGCACATACTTGGTATCTGTGCAAATGACCTATTTTCACTTTAAAAAAAAATCCCAGAGCCAGACCCAGTACTTTTTTTATGTACACATCAACCTAATTTTCACTTAAAAAGTAAAAGAAAATGACAAAAACCAATGGTTTTACCCTTGTAAAAGCGCAAACAAATAGTGGGCGATTCTACACTTTACCTAGAATTTTTCAAAGAAAAGCATCATTCATTATAGAAAATTATGTTTGAACAACCAGCGAGATGAAATTATGCTTTAGTGATAACTGGTAGCGAAATAGCGATGAGGCATCCATTCAGTTGTTTAGCAATTTTTATATAAATTATGTATGATCTGAAATAGTTATTATTCTCTGCTCCATTAGTCATGTTACCTTTTTATAAATTATAATAAAAAAGTATATGAAATTAATCTTTCACTAAATTAAAACATCAATCTTAGATAGTATTTACTATTATACTTCCTTTCTTGCATTAGGGTTGCCGCAATTATTTTTGGCAGCACTGGCATGAACAATAGTTTGGCAATTTTTTATGGCCCTCAAAACCGAATATGGTACCAAATATGTTATAGTGTACAGATATTAAAGTACTTTTCGGAAATACATTGTTTAGCACTAGCTGCTATGTCAATAAGTGTAAATTTAGTTATTTCATGTTTTAAAAATACATTATTCAAATTATTTTGTATCAGCCAATGATTCCTAATGGCATTAGTTCTATTTTGACTCATTCACCACTTAATTCTGGATGATGCCATTTGTAATTGTTTAGAATTTTAATTAAAAAATTAAGATTTTTTAAATTTTATCCTTTTAGTTTGAATGTAAGATGAGTATATTTTGCACATTTCAGATTTTTAGAATAAAAAATAAATATTTGGAACTGAAAAGGTTAAAGCACTTCTTCACCTGGAGTGAAATTAGTCTTTACTGTTTCTTCATGCATTTCTAAAAAGTAATTGTTGGCTTCATGCGAAATGTTGTAAATGGAAATAAGCTATGGAAATTTACAAATCCATAAATTATTAACATTAAAAATGATTAATTTTATATGATAATGTAACTGAATTTTTAAAACAAAAGGACTGTAGAATGTCTCAAAAACCCAAATGTGAATGAAAACTAGTTGCATAGTGAGACCTCGCTTTAATGTAAGAGGTACGTTTTAGTAAGTTTCCAGCACTAAGATAAATAGCATTGAACAAGGTCATCTTAAAACATGTAAATAATGGGGATAAATGAAACAACTGAGAATAAGAACACTTATTTTTCTTCTCCATTTTTATTTTATAATGTTTATGAGTTATACTTTTTTAATTACATTTATTAGACACTTATTTATTGTTAATGTTGATGTTTATTTATAAAGCCATTCATAAAAATTCACAAAATCAAAAGAAGTTTGCATAAAGACATTATGTTTGTAATGAGAAAGGTTCTTCTCTTTTTCTTTTTTTTTTGGGGGGGGGAGGGCTGAAGAAGTTGTCTAAATTTTCCTGTTTTCTGCAACAAGTACTAAAGCTGTTTACACATTTTTAGAGTGATTTCAAGGCTATTTAATTAATGTTTAAAATGTGAAGAGGGTCTTTAGTCTTTTTTGGGACTATAAGTGGACATCGTGATTTTTATGGTTTTTCATAAAATTTCCAGGGATATTGATTTCCATTCCTCTTCTACTACTTCCCAGAGGCCATTAATTGTGGTCGGTTTGCACTTGGAAATAGTTCTTTTTAAGAGAAAAAAAGGGACAATAATTCATAGGTGAAATCTTGAGACTTCATGGGGGAATACACTGATAGGGTGTATGTGCAACACGTATATCAGTCTTTCATTTTTTTAAGGAATGCAGTAGTACTTTTTGAAATATGATTTGTTGCTTTGTCATGATAAGTGTCACTCTTTGAAAGTCATTGGATTAAAGAAATTCCATTTCTTTAAGTATCAGATGTAAAACTTTCTTTGCTGCAATCATTTAGGTAAGCCCATGCTTCATCAAGGGTCACAATGTATTTCCATTTATCTCCTATAAAATAAGTTTCCATACAGGGTTCTACAAATTTTCTATGTTGAGCAACATGCTTTGGCAAAAAGCTGGGGAACATTATGTTGTTTTAGCTTTTTTAAGTTATAAATCTTGGTTTATTATTTTATTTATTATTGCTGCAGATGTATTTAATGACTTGCAATTGAATTTTGTGTCAGTGGATTTTCTATTGTTTCAGTTGATGCATTAGGAAGATTTAACATTAGAAGCAGTACATTCTTTTTGAGTACTTTTTATTGTTTGGAGTGTTCTAACCATATAGGAGTAATGATTGATAGTTTTTCCCTTTCTGATTAATAATGTTGCTTATTTTGCGCTTCTCGAATTTGCTAATAAATTGTATTGCAAAATAAAAGTTGGTGCTAATAAAATAAAAAGCTCCCGCTTTGAGATAAACTAACACAGTAATACCAGTACCAGATACAATTTCAGGGAATTCCATTACTACTGCATAATATTGAAACAGTTTTAAGCGAGGTCTTACCATATTATTAAATTGTGCTGTTCATTAAGCAAATAAAATTATGTCATATCTAATGATCATTTTAGTAACAGTTCTAGATTTGCTATTTAATTGTTATTCTGTAAAGAATGTTTATGCATCTGTACACTGAACTGATGGTTTCATATTGAATTATACCTATTAGATTTCTGTGGAATTACATGATAACATTTTTCTAATTTTTATTTCATTTTGATACAGGTTATAAGGTTTCAGATACAGTACGGAAAGGTATTTTTGATGTGGAAATGTATTCTGGATTTGAAAAAGAGCTGTTGTTAGGTTATCTGGCAGCCTTAATAGGTATGTAATATTAATGTAGTATCTGAAATCAAAATTAAATTTGAATTTTATTTTCAACCATGAATATAATATTTTAATTTTATTTTTAGGTAGTGCAATATGGAATTTGGTTGCAACATTTTTTCGTTGGCCTATATCAGGAACTCACAGTATTATTGGTGCAGTAGTTGGCTTTTCTCTTGTAGCAAGAGGATTTATGGGTATAAAATGGATGATGTTGGGGAAGATAGGTACGATGCTTGTATTTTTCTTTTTTTAAAAAAATTCAGGTAATAAGTAATAATAAAAAGTAATGTATTACTTGCATGTTGGAAGTATGATTTTAATATAATAAAAAATTTGGTCAGTTTTGTTTTTCATATAAACAGTTGTAATAATAATTTTTAACATTACTCAATTCAAACAAATATGATTAATTATAAATTTCTAGTATACGTTTAAGATAATTTGTTAATTATAAAATAGTGATTCAAATTTTTATAATCATTGACTAATAATATCTCTATAATCTGTTTTAATTTTAAATTGCAGTTTTATAACTTTGTAATGTTTTTTACTTTAAATATTCTGTGAGGTGAAATATTTTAATATTGTTAGCCACCTAAATCCTTTCCTAAGTATTTTCTAATTATTCGTAAACCCAATTCAGCATATGGTAAAACTGCCTTGATTTTGGCATATTTTTTAATACACATACGCGGGACAACAGCCAACTCGCACATGCATTTGCCATGCGTGTATTTCAGCGTATATAGATAGATATATATGCTTTATATTTAACTGTCATTTTTCTGAACAGTATTTATTGGCTGTAAAAATGTAAATATCAGTCATTAAGAATGTTTTCTGTTCATAAAATTTCTTACTGTTTTGAAATTGCTTCTTTTTATTATATTTTATGAACAGAATAGTAGCCGTAAGCCATAAAGGTAGTCAAACAAATGGTTTTAGCCAATTTACAAAGTCGGCAATGAGTTGCTGGTTTTCCATGGAGGTGTGGATAATAAAAAAATACCTTTCCTTCTTGCTTATTTATATGTATAGTCAGTTTTGCTTTTATGGAAGCTTTATTAAATTTTTCAATTTGTCAAAATTCCTCTTCAATTTAATTAAGCAAATGTGTTATTATATGTCAAACCTGTGGCTATCATTTATTGCAAATTGCTTTTGATCTTTATTTACCATATTCAGGGAGTACTGAAGAGAACTGAGCATTGAATACAGGTTTCTAAGAAAAGTCAGCATCTTTTTTTTATTTTGAAATAAATAGGTTGTTGCATTTTGTCAAATATAGTGAGACAACAGCTGTGTAAAATTATATTTTGCAAATTTTTGACAAAATAGGATTATTCCAATGCTGTATTGCATGAGGTTGTCTTAGATGTTGTAGTCTCTTCCCTTCTATGTAATTAAAAAAAAAAAAAAAAAAAAAAAAAAAAACTAGCCTAGATAAAATGGATGAAAAAAATTATGCCTTTTTCGACTCAAGTAAAAGGTGTTAAATTATCTATTACTTTTTTGTGATCACTCCAGCAGAATAACACATAAATAGCTTTTTGGTTACCTACAGGAAAATTCTTATTGCACAATATATAAGAATTCTACCTTGAATGATGTGGCTTTCATAATTTCAGATTGCAGTTGAGATCAGTGTCTCAGTTTTGGTGACTGTGGTGACTGCTTTAATGTGTGTACATTAAACAGTTATATTTTTTCAAATGCGATAATGCTAGTAAAGTTAGTTAGTGCTAGTAATAATGTTAGTCTGCAAGTTCACAGATATAAAGAACTTTTTCTGATATTATATTCTGCACGTGCACAGATAAACTGGTAACACTACTAGTTGGTTTAAAAAAGTTCTCCAAATGCTCTCATTTTCTTATACCAAAAAAATCTCCGAATGTTATTTTTAATAATCAATCTTTATTTGCTGCAAATACAAACAAACCTGTTATAAGGAACATTAATCTAAAACATGATTAACAAATACCTTTCATATGCTAGCCATTATAAACTCAAGATTAATTTTAAATATGGTGAAATAAGATTAAAAAGCTGAATTTATCTAAACTTAAAATCTTGTGAAAATTTATAATCTGCGTGTATTTTAAAACTGTGTACTGATATCCTCTGAAAATGCTAAATAACTTCAATAATAAAATTAATTTACTTCTTCAATTAAAATGTTTTAAATATAATGTAATTTTTGTTAAAAGGTTTTTTTAAATATAATATATTGTATGTATTTACAGTGGCTCACAAAAATGATTGGACTCTTTGAATTTTCATATTCTTTAATGAACATGAAAACTAATAAGTTGAAACAAAAAGAAAGGCTTTTATTTTGATTATATATAAATTTTTTATCATAAATACATTTTTGAAAATATGAAAATTAAATTCGTAAATCAATATCCTTTATTTAATGAGCAAAATTATTGTCATGAAACTAAATAGACACTTCTAATAACATCCAAAAATGACAAAAACTTGCATTGTTTTTGCTTCTTAATATGTTGTGGGATTACCTTTACATTTGATCACATCATTTAAACTTTTGAGCATTGACTTCACAAGGGTGTTTTTGTTTTGTTTTGATTGTGAACTTTTTTTACACTTCTTTTGAATCTTTGCGTTCAGTTGTTCCCGTGAAGGTATGCTCTGATTTTGAATTTTCGGTTCTAGTTCCTGCCAAGTATGTTCAATAGGATTAAGATCTGTTGATTGGTCTGGTGCCTTGATTACTTCTGGACACTTATATAACAGCCAGTAAAGCATTGTGCAGAGTATGCTTTAGATCATTGTTCTAGTAGAATTTAAAACTATTTTGTATATTAAATTTTTGTGCTGATGATGACAAATTTTGCTTCAAGATGTCAAGGTACTTTATCTGTAATACTATCTATAAACTCTATATTATTTAACATCGGAATGTGCCATAGATCCTCATACCAACTTCTCCTCTAAGTTTTAAGTTGGTCTAAGTTTTGCTTCTGAGATACTTCTTTGGGGTTTCTCTACATCAGCACTCATCCATCTGAACCAAAGATGCTAAATATGCTTTCATCAGCAAACAACACTTTTCTGTAATAGTCGGGTGTCTTTTTATTTTGCTGTAGCAAATTCATACTTTTTTTTTTTTACTGACATAAAATTTCCTTGCGATTCGCACATGGTATTCTGCAGATTACATTACTCTTTTTACATTTTTGGATTTACACATATTCCAAATAACTCAAGAAGTTTTGGATTGAGTACTCAGTCTTGGATTCTTTTTAATATTCCTTAGAGTAAATGTTTCATTCCATCAGATAATTTAGAGGATGTTATAGGTCTTCTTTTGTTCTTAATACAATTCTTTTCCCCCTCCTTTTTTTAATGCTTAATAGTATCAAAAACTTTAGAATTACTTAAATTAAGCAAATGGACAATTTTTCTTATAGATTTCCCTTTCTTTTTGGTGTAAATTAGTTACTAATCTGTGGATTTCTAGCGAGGTTTCCTTTCATGACTGAGCCATTGCAAGAAAACATTAAAATAATGAATATTTTCTAAAAAGAAAATTTGAATTATAAAAGCAAATTATTTTTAGATTTTTGCCTACCTTCTTTATCTAAACTAATTTCATGAAGTTTTGCTTTTTGTTTTTTGCAGGTCATTTTAATTAGAAATTTTTAAAATTTCTCATAAATTTTGTGGCATCTTCTTATTCTTCCTCTTTTCTTTTTTTTTTTTTTTTCTTTTCTTTTTTTTTTTTCATTTCAGCCTAAAACATTATTTTTTAAATTTACTATTTAATTTTTTTGAAATTTACTCGGTACAAAAAGAGAGCTAAGGAAATATGTATTCAAAGGGAAAATATTCTTTATTATTTTATTTCAAAGCTTTCTCATATTGCTTTAAAAAAAGTTACAGTGGTCGATCGTTTTTGTGAGACATTGTACATATATATGTGTGTGTGTGTGTGTGTAAGAAGAAAAAAGTGCCATTAAATTTGCCATGCTGAATTTTCTAAAAATTAAAAATTTGGGTACTCTACTCTTCACGTAGCAGCACTTTGTGCCGAACATAATGTTGGCCTGAAATATAACTAAATGGCAGCAATATTAAAAATATATAAAACTTCATGAAGAAAATTCATTTGTAATACCAGTAATATATCATGTAATACATGTAATGTTTAATATGTAGAATTTGGAAGCAGTATACGATGCCGAATTTGTGCAATTTTCTGACTTTTTTTAAGCAAACACAAATTGCTGCGAATATAGGGAGAACGCTTGTGCTTCCCATGTAAACAGCGATATATTTTTGCTTAAAAAAAAATCTCAGAATTGCATAAATTTGGCATTGTGTACATTAAATTTTTAACAGCTATTTATTGTACAACTATTTATAAAGCCGTATAAACAGGCTATTGCATTTGGTGACTGGCAAGGCTATAAAACTATAATATAAACAGGCTATTATTGGTAACTTCCATTAACAGAAAATTAGCAGATTTTGTTTGTTTATATCCAAAAATGAGTGCAGATTATCAGTATTCTGCTATATTAAAGGTTTAATTGCATATTTCAAGTACTGAAGCATACAAGTTTTGAACATTTAAAATGCTGTGTTGCATGAACACAACAAATGCTGTGTGCATATTTTTCATGACATTTTTGGAAGAAAATCATATCCAAGTCTTTCTTAATAGACATTTTGGCACAAAATTTTAGTTGTTTTCTAATCAAATGTGTACCAAGAGAGGAATATCCAGAATTTCATTCATATTTCCCACAATTTATTCAATTTAGTTGGGGAAGGAGGGTTATTAAAATATATACTAAATACCATTATATATTAAATCAGAAAATTGCTGTGAAATTCTGAATTAGTATTTAACAAAAGTTCAGTGTTTTTTTTTTTTTTTTTTTTTTTTTTTTTTTTTTTTTTTTATCATATTTTGAAAATCATGTTCAAATTTTATGAAGCTGCTTTGCTGGTATCTTGGAAAAGTTTGATGTTTCACGCATCACAAATGCTGTTTCAGTTTATTAAATGTAAACCTATCATATTAAAAATGCATGTAAGATTATGAAGAACTGATAACATATATAAAACTTTATTTAGTACGTTAGTTTTTTCTGCGAGATTAAGAAAGCTTAACAGCTTATTAGTATACATTTACATAAACATTATATTAACAAATTTTAATCAAATATAGAAGATAGTTATGAAAAATTTGCAGTGAAACATTCAACATTTTTGTATACTTTCTGCTAGTGTATTTATTGCATTTGAAAATTACATAATGTCGGGTTAAAAAAAATTGGAGGGGCTAAATATTAGCATTACCGAAAGGTTTATTTTTATTGCCTGCATATTGGTTGATCTGTAAAGCTTTCCATGTGAAGAATGGTATTTTTTTACTGTTAGTGCGTGTGGCAGCTGTATGGGTCCATTTATATTAATGTCTTCGAGGTTTGAATGTGTGTTGTTGTAAAAGTAAGTGTGAGTGTGTGTACTTACTCCTCACAGGTGATCTGCTCACGTTTCAGTGTCCTCCTGGTTTCTGTCTCCCGTGCTGTCAGGCTTCATTTCATCTGTAATTTTCTTTGCTGTGAAGAAATTGATACTTACAAAGGTGAGTTATGTTTTTCATAGTGTACAAATTCAAAACAATATTTCTAAATTGCAAACATATGTAGTGCAAAGTCTTCAAGGTCCAAAATCGTCAAGGTTTTAGTAATTTCAGATTTTCTGTATTAATGAGTTCGATAAATTCATCTGCAAAGAAATGTTTTCCCCCGAAAATTTTCACTGCCTTATACAATAAATACGTATACAATAAAATTTTTTAATTTGAGTAACCATCTTGTAGAACATGTACGCTTAGATTTTTTATGTCCATTGTGGCTTGAGCTATCAGGTATGTGTCAGGTGGCACATCCTCATTGCAGTGCTATGTCACCCATCAATCATCACTATGTCATGGTTATTACTTTAGCGTAACAAAATATTTTTCTGTTATTCATTCTGAGGAGGCTGTCAGAACCCACAAAATATCCATTTTTCTCTGTTTTTTTTTTATGTCATATACTGTTGAATGCCATATTCCTCGCACAATTTCATGAGGAATATGCCTTTATTGTTTAAGACAGAAAAATGCATGCAAAGACAGAATTGTCCATATTCACTCAAGGGCCAAAAGTGTGATAGTGGCCAACATCAATACAATGACAATCAGTGTATTCTTGTTGGCCAAGGTTCAGTTCCCTAGCCTAGTTGCTGTTCTCAGTACCTTCTGTTATGATTCTGTGTTTTATGATGCTATATATAATTTAGCCCTTCCAGAAACTAGTAGAAGCTTTCAAATTTCTTCTTCAGTTAGCTCTCTTTTCCGTTTTGGCATAGTTCTTTAAAATGAAGCAAAATAACTCCAAAAAAGCTTTCAAAGATATGAAATATTCCAAAGAAACACAAGACTTTGTTTATTATTTTCAAATGAGGTTATCCCAGATTCTGAAGCTGAAAGAATGAAAAGAGAATGATGAGAAAAACTAGATAAGTGGTAAATAGTTAAGAGACATCAAACTTGACAGTTCATCCCACAGCTTGGAAAATGCAAGAAAAAGACATGACTACAAAAGTGGACATCCCCGTCCCTTTCAGACAAGGATACTAAGGTAAATACAATGGCCATCCTGTTCTCAAAAGGTGAAAATGATACTAGTTTTGAAGCAGTGATAGTTTTTATATTCAAGCTTTAGGATGTTGCAACACAACGATGATAAAAAGTATTTTTTTTTTCTCATTTCTTGGTATTGCTTTTGAATTTGCTAAATACTTGAAGAGCTAGCTGAAAGCATTATACAGGCATCATACTAGAGAGCCTGAAGATTAATTTGAAAACAGTGTAGAATTTTTGAACCTGCAGTTTAATTCCGTGGACCAGTTTTCAGCAAATTAGTTATACTTGAAGTTAAAATTTTAAAAATTGCTGGCATAGCAGTTGTATAATGTAGAAACTTGGATATCATGACCAATTTAAATATTTCTTTTTATTTCTTATTAGCCAATACAAAATAAATTGGTGCAACAGCAACTAAATTTTGAAGAATTAAGTTGGTACCATTAAATTTCTAAAATATAATTTTAAAAAGCAAATACAACATATTTTAAGACAGAAGCTTTGTTCAAAAGGATTATGGTTTTGGTTTATAATGTTATTTTCAGTTTGCAAATCATCTGCTTCATAAGCATTATGGAAATGGGAAATATCCAAATTAAGGGGTTATGGCAAATTAAAGTTAGTATTTTGGCCTAACATATTTTTATTTTATATATATATATATATATATATATATATAAATATTATACTCTATATTATAGCAAAAAAGTAATAAATATTGATACAACTTTCAAAAATAAATTTTTCAGCAGGATTTTCGACGGAAATAATTTTAAGATCTTTTTGTTTAAAACATTTTTCTACAATATTATATATATTCATATATAGATATATATATCTGTATATGTGCATAGCATTATTATTAGAGACTGGAATCATTAATATATTAATAGTATGCCATCTTAACCTGTAACTAAAAATACGTTACTAACAGGGGAAAAAATGTTACAGGTATAAAATGTATATAATTTTTTTTTCAAATCTGTCATAATTACATGAAATTAAAGATGAATTTCATTTTTAAGAGAAAAGACAAAAGGCCTTTTTAAATCTTAATTCTACATCTATACTATAGGTCATTTTTCTCTTTCCCCCCTGATTTGCATATAATAATATAAAGATGCAGTTTCATATCAATGTGTATGGAAAATCTGCATTTTTTATGTTGATTTATGTTTTGCATATTGAATATGCATCTTGTGCTGCACCAATATATTTTTTTAATAGCAAATACATTTAAACTTTTGCAGATCATTGAGTGTCAAACATATAATTAAAAAAAAATATTTGCATATAATTAAAAAAAAATTTTTTTTTTAATGTTTAGCTTCTAATATGCAAAAGAATGTATGAGCAGTTATATTCATATTCTTTTTTTTTTTTAAATTTGTTTAAGCTTTTGAATATAAATTTCAGTTTTATCTGTAATTAATGGCTGTTTTCTATTTTTATATTTTCTTTGCAGGAAAATCCTGCAGAAAGAGGTTATGCAGCATTACCTTTCTTTTGGGGTTTCACCATTTTTATCAATTTATTTTCAGCTATTCATGGTGGACCACACTGTAAGTATCTATTTATTAATAACATATTCACATTCCATTTCTAAATTTAAAAAATTTTAAGTAATGCCAGATTTATAAGCATCAATTTATGATGGCGAGTGAATTTCTTTGAAGTTTATTTATGGAAAAAATATGCAGGAATGCTGACAATGATAGGTGTAAAAATTATGCTAATTTGAAATTTTTGATACATGATGCTGTGTTCAGAAATTTATAGGTACTGTATGACAATTCATGTTTATAAATTTTGTAGCTCTTTTACTGTTTATTAATTGTTATTTGAAATTAAAAAATGCATTTAAATTAGCATACATTTAAATATATTCTTGCACAATTTAATTTCTGAGTTATGCATTTTTTAAGGTATTAATTTTTGGAAATATTTAGCACCATTATATTCTAATTTTGTTTTGGCACTAATCTCTTATTTGCTTACTGTCATTAAGCTTGAATTGTGCCAAGATAATTTTATTTGAATATTAGATATTTGATTGCCTATTTAAAATACCATTGATCTTGATTTTTTTTTTCACTTCAAGAGTTGTAAACTTCTCAAAATTGTTTCACTCCATGATAGTTTTGTCCATCATATGCTGATTATTTTCATAAAATTTGATTAATATTAACTCCTTACAATATTAATAAAAAAATCATGTGAATAATAATCATAATCCTTAATAAATAAATCATATTTTGGAAATGTGATCTCATTTCCTTTAAACAAACTGCTCCCTTTGTGCTTTTTTGGCACTTTTTAGTTGCACTCACATTAAATGTTTTCTTTCATGATAATTAATTTTATTATATGGATATCAGAACATTCTTTCAGTTTTTGGTTGTATCCTGTGGCTCTGAAAAATTATGTAACTTCTGTTTAATTATTTCTCAAATTACAAAGACCTACGAACAAAAATAAAAAATGCAAAATGGATTCCAGCTAGTACAAGAATCATTTTGTATTTCATGTATGGATAAAGTTATAACATAAGGCCAAATATTTATAGGTATGTAATCACCATTTGGTACCAACCACAAAGTATAAAAGGAGTTAAAACTGTGAAGTAGAAAAATAGGTCCAAAATTGTCATGTTCACTAGATGGTGCTTCAGTTCTTTGGCTATCCCAAGTTTAAACATTTATTTGTATTGTGAGGAAGCTAAGTTTTGAAAGGGAAGAGAAATGTATACTACATGTGTATGCAATGGATCATGTTAATAACTGTTTATACGAATTTTTACATTTATGCAATAATATCCTATTACCTAAACTAAGGATTCTATTCGCTAATGATTGTTTTCTGTTCAAATTATAAAATACAGTTTACAGCTTTTATGGTTAATGGATTGAGTGCTATTCATGAATGATTAATTTGAAGAAGTCCTTTTTCAGTTTTTCTCTCCTAGCAAAAGAATTATATTACCATTAATAATATTTAATGTATATGTGTTAAATTTAATTAGATTTTTCCCTCTTTCATTTCATAAAATGCTTATATTCTAACATAGTTTGATATAAATTATGACAAGATTCTAATAAATGTTACATAGAATTTAGTACTTCAGTTAGTAAATTTCTTTTTTGTTTTTCAGTTTACCATTGTATTCATAACTTATCTGATATGCTGAATTTGTCTCATGCAGAACCCCCCCTTTTTTTTTTCCATAACAGCTGTGTGTTCATTTCCATTGGTTATAAAAACCTACTTTAAACAGACAAGAAGGGAAAAAATAAACTTACATTTTTTCTGTAATTGAAATAAAAGTGCAAATATTCTATCAGTCTTCTACTGTTTTAGTTATTTTATTTAATTTTGGTGTATAGTTTGCATGCTTTCATGTACAAAATGTATGTTTAATTTAATGTGAGTTATGTGTAATACTTAATTAATTTCCAATTTACTACTCTTTTTATAAGTATGTTGTAAATGTTCTTTTTTTATTTACAAACAATCCAGAAGGTCTGATAAATTATATACACATTTCTTAATTTTGATCATGCATGATGTAAATTTTGCTTAAACCTTTGGAGTTCTAAATAGCATTGGATTCTTAATTATGAAGTTTTTATTTTTGCACCAAAAAGTTCTATAGCCACTGTTGCATTCAGATATGAAACATGGTCTATTATATGTCTTATTAATAATGAAAATAGATATTAAATCAGTATTACTGATATTGTTACCCATGTAAATTGCCACAGCAAGGTAAATCAGGTTTGACTGTAGCACCGTATAATAAATAAAGTGGAAAAAAAGTGATCCACTTTTACCAAAAGTGGTAAAATGAGTTTCACAGCCTCTCACAGTACCAATCTGTCTTTCCAGCAGCAAATAAGATAACTGTATTTTTGAAGAAGTATTCAGATTTCTATATGGGAAACAAAATATTATTTATTTAATACGGTTATTGTAATTTGGCCAAAAAATGACTTTGTATAATAAATATTATTGCCTACCAATTTGTATTTCAGTAGATGTATCCATTTTTGTGAGAGTCTAATTTTCTAATGGAAAGAATTTATGGTATTTAAAGTAAAATAATTTTCAAATTAATTTGATTTATCATATATCAGTATAAAAAAGGCTGCAATTATGTTACATTACACTGAACTCTCAATGGTAATTCTTAAATGGCGGTGAAAAAATATTCCTGATTTCATTAAGCAAGAATATTGTGTTGATTAAAGGATAATAGTATTGGGCCTGCTTGAAATTAGAATAGTTCAGGAGTTGAACAAAATTTTGAAATGGGAATAATGAAGATTATTATAGACCTCGATGCACATGCATTTTAGGTGCAGTGTTTCAGAAAGAACTTATAAGAGGTTGGGAAGTGGAAAATGAAAATTAAATAGTAATGGTAGATACTAGAATTCATAAACAGCATTAGAATTATTTTGGTTGAATAAGTGGAGTTATTTTTACATTAGAGATTTGTAGAGTTTAACTGTATAGTATGGAAGAATAGCTGTGAGAGAAAGGAAAATCATAGATTTTTTTTTTCCTGAAGTAAAAAAGAAAATCTATAAAATAAATTTTGTCTTGCATAATACTAAACTTTAGTATTCACATCTTAAATGACTAATTTTTAAATAGAGTTGTGTGCTGTATTTAGCACTTTGTTGTGCAAATGAATTTCAGAATTATAATTTTTTATAGAGCTGCTTCCAAATGTAATATTAAATATTTCTACAGGTGTCATCTTTGTAGGTTTAATCTGAGATATGAACTCGTGGGTAAATCTTATAATTTACATTCATAATGTTAATATTAAGTACTTCTCTCATGTAAAAAAATAAGTTGGTCCTAGTTCTATGAGGACTTTAAAAATATGTCATATCTTTTGAGTTAAAGATTGGTAGGGCACCAACTTAGCATTCGGAATGCTTTGTTCATGTCTTCCTTCTTTTTATATTTTATGAAATTTGCTTGTGTATTTTTATGGTAGTAAGTGGATATTTCAGGATTCAGTAAGTGCATATTGTTAGTGTCCTCGTGTTTTAAGCTGCAGTGTCATCTTTTCTGAATTTCAATATTCAACCTTAACTATTCTTTTCAAGTATATTACATTATAATTTGTTATTCATTCATAGATATATTTATGAATTAAAATTGTGAAATACTAAAGTAAGAATAAAAATATTTCAGACCTTGGATTTGATGTCATTCCATGGTGGGGTGTCCTGATTTTAGCAATAGGAGTAGGTTTGATCTTTGGTTTGTGTGTAAGGTATATTCTTGTTCCTCATCTTCAGCAGTCTATTGCAAGTAAGTAACAGATTTCTCTGTAGGAGAAATTTTACACTTAATTTTTTGGTTTTGATTGTAGAGAATTTTTTTATCTTATTTTAAAAACTGTTTGTCTAAATAAGGGTCTATGAATAAATTCTGCCAAAATCAGCAAAGAAAGCAGTTTTGTGCAGGAGTTATAAACAAGTTAAAAAAAAACAGTCATTAATTGATTGATCATTTTCTCTTTAAATTGAAAATGTTAAACTGCATTAAAATATATATGTGAAAACATCCTTTTTGAATAATACATCTAAAAAAAATGTATGAAATATGATAGGATAAGTGATTTAAAAACCATTTTTAATTCTCTGCTGTGAGGGAGACCACTTTTAAATTAATTACTTCCCCCTTTCTGTACATTACAATAGAAGACAGAAATAGAAGTACACTCAGTTAAAAAAAGGGGGGGCAGGACAGTTTTAAATCTCCTGTTCTACTCAGCTGATTGATACAATTCAATTGTACTTTCATGTCTTCAATACTTAGGATTTATGATGGATTTATGTATAGTATTGTTTTAACATATATATTTTGACACAAAATCTGATTTTTCTGAAATAACATGTTAATTTTTTTTTCAATATGACATATTAATTCTACAACTCAAATTAGTAATAACGTATTAATTCTACAACTCAAATATGCTTCAAAATCTAATTTTGTGAGATTTAAGCAGTAATTTGGAAATTTATTTTGACACACTTTTTTACTTTGTACCAAGGATAACTAATTTGGTAACATTTTTCAGTTTACGGCAACCCATTTCACTTTCATTCCTATCATTATGCACAAGCAAAAAAAGTAACTTTTTTATCTTTTTTGCATATATTTTTACTTTATATTATCCTTTTTTTAAACCACAGATGTTATTTTTAATTTTTTTTTTCATTTTAATTAAATGAGTTGCATTGTTGAACTATAGTTTTTCAAATAGCTATCTTAAAGAAATTTTGTATATTCATTTGCATTGTGTACTTTACATTTTGTACATATTTATTCATATATATATTTTTTTTTCATTTGATTTTATTTATTTGAATAGCATCCCCCCCCCACAAATAATACTTTGTCACCCAGTATTCGTGACGATGCCATTGAAAACTGCATTATGCATTAAAAGAGAAGATGTCATAAAGCATGGATAATACGTCTTTTAGTGGGCCATTAAAAAATATATATATAAATGAGAAAGTTGTATTATCTGCATTTAAATTTAGAGTGATATGCATTTAAATAATTTTTTTGAACAAACAATTCAGTTTTATTATTGTGCTATTGCTTTATACAGTTTATCATCCTATGTTTAGTTAATTAAAGTATTATCTATACTTTCAAATAAGTTCACATTTTTTAATTTTTTTAATTGCAAAAACCAAATAGTATAACATAAAGCAAGACTAAATTTTATGCAAATAAATAAAAATAAATAAATTGTTTGACAAACTTATTTTTGGCAGATAAACAACTTTAGAAAAGTTGTATATTAATAGCAAAAATTTTGTATTATATTTTTAATTTACAATGCTAATCATGTATTTAAAATTTCTTAAATACTATTATCAATTTTCAGGTTTAGGTGATAGTGAAAACAGTGAGAATGAAATCGGTAAAGTCGAAAGTAAGTGTTGTTTTATATATTTCTTTTTCTACAAGTATTATATTTCTTTATATTGTCAGCTTCAGATTATTTTTTATCCATAGTATTAATTTATAATTATATTAAAAAGCTCTTTTATTTTTATAATTTTTACATTTCAAGAGTGTATCAATAATGCTTAAGAGTAGTTTTTAGTATGTCACATTTTAAAAGTAGCTGTGTAGATAATAATAAAGGTATCTTTCATATTAGATATTTTAACTATCTGAAACCAAGTAACTGCAATCACATTAATCAGCATTCTATTGAAATATGAATGATCTTAATGAAGTCAACAAATCCCTCTTTTATAAACTCTAATGTATTTATGAATAAAATTAATTTAACAATTAGTTTTAAGCATATTTAATATGTAGCAAAAATGTTTTACTGTAGGAAATTGAATTAATTAATATTAAATAAATTTAAAAATAATATACAGTATTAAACATAAAAATAACAAATGCTCATTTAAACATAATCATTTTGGTTATTACATGAATTATTGTTATTTATTATTTTCATCACTGTAGCATGATTATTTATTGCAAACAAACTGATTTTACATGATAGTATTTTTCCTCCAAGTATTTTGAGACACACAAGTATAACAATAACACTTCGCACTACGTCTTGGTTCGTTCAAGTTCTTTTGCATTTTTAGTTTCTAAGATCAAGGCCTGTGCCATTTTATGTATACATTTGAACTTCTGTAAAGGGAAACTCTGCTTTGGCACGCATTTCTCATTTAGAGCCACTTTGAAATTCTTGAACCTAAAAAAAAAACTAAAATAAAAGAAGATCTTATTTATTGCAATTATTATTGATTATTTATTGCAAACAAACTGATTTTTCATGATAGTATTTTTCCTCCAAGTATTTTGAGACACACAAGTATAACAATAACGCTTCGCACTACGTCTTGGTTCATTCAAGTTCTTTTGCATTTTTAGTTTCTAAGATCAAGGCCTGTGCCATTTTATGTATACATTTGAACTTCTGTAAAGGGAAACTCTGCTTTGGCAGGCATTTCTCATTTAGAGCCACTTTGAAATTCTTGAACCTAAAAAAAAAACTAAAATAAAAGAAGATCTGTGCATTCCCGAGTAATAGATTAGTTCTTGATACTGTGTCTGCTAAAAGGATCGTGTTTTGTAATAATTTATTCTGTTTGTGGCATTGGCATTGTTAAATATTCAAGCAGTTGCCACAAGAGTCATTTGCAAGAGGTATATGTTCACAAGTTTGAAATCATAATAAATGCTCTTAACAGTATTTAAAAAAAATGTTATTAATGAGAGGGATCAGTCAACCCAAGAATGGAATCTTAAAATGCAGCTATGATAATACAGGAAAATTTTGAAGCTGCGAAAAAAGTTATACGTGTTGAATATTTATAAAAAATTAGTTCTGCTGTTTGAAAGACCAGGGGTGTTTGTGCTCCGGGGAAACCCGGGAATTTTGAACTTCGATCCCCGGAAATTCCGGGGATCGTCGTTCAAAAGGAAGTAGGAATAATAATGAATTATTTATTTTGATCTGGGTAATTTTGTTTGCTTTGAAAGCAGAAAACGCAAGGTCAGTGTGTGTGTGTGGTGAAAACTTTTCCTTTCTTTCTCCAGAGGCAGTGATAATGCGTGAAAAGGAGGAGAAAAACTTCTTTTTTGTTCTTTCCTTATTGTGAGTTATGACTCATTCCCCCTGGCTTCTCAGGACATTCTCTTCTGGATTCTTTTCGGCAAGTAGGCGCGACAGAAAAAAAAAAAAAAGGGAGAGACTTCGTTCGACCAGATGTGCGATCACGTGACTCTGGGTTCAAAGGTCTTATCTCTCCTGGAGTGGCGCCAATAAGTAGAGAAGGGAGATTTTTCGCCGTATTTTTCAGCTATTTGTCATTGATCACTTCTCAACGTGTTTTTCTCCACTGTGTAAAATTTTCGTTTCATTTATTGATGCATGTGTAAATTTTTCGTTTCGTTTATTGAAATATTTTTTTTATTTTTATGTACGCAAGAAAATTTCACTATGAAATTTCTCAATATAAATAGTGATATTATACAATTAGAAGAAGGTGTCCGGAACGCATTTAAGTGGAATTGGATTGAACGGAGAGATGGTAATGGGGATACCATCAGCACATGGTGCAAGAAAATGTTGCTGGACAAGCATATTGTGTTTTTTTGTAACTCACTGCTGAAGTATGGTGGGGAAGGATTCAAGGCTTTCACAAATCATACTAAAACTGTGACGCACATAAAATAATCAAAGTGCATTAGACATTCAATGACTTTAAGTAATTATGCTAATTAAAAAAATACTGATGACTTACACGCCAAGAGGTATTAATAACTTCGTTTATCGCCGAGAATTCTCTTTCTTTCAATGTAGCTCCCAATTTAATTGAACGCTGCAAACAGTTGAGCCGCGATCAGACGGCACTAAACTCGTTGAAAATGTCCAGGACTACGACATGTTATAAGATGAAATATGGGCTCGCAAAAACTATTAAGGAAAATAACATTAAAACTTTAAAGGAGACTCCATTTTCTCTAAATTTGGATGAAAGTACTAGCAATGCTCAAGAAAGTATACTGGCAATATTGGTGCAGTTTTATGACAACAATCAAATGAGTTGTAGTTCATCATTTTGGCATCTCTAAAGATGGAATCTTGCAATTCAGAAGCTGTTTTTAAAGCAGTTGTTAATACTATTGAAGATAATATCCATGGGCAAACTTAATTAGTGTATTAATGGACTCATGTAACACCATGCGTGGAAAAAAAAAAAAGGGTGTTGAAACCAGACTACGATCAAACAAAGCACCCCACTTATTAGATATTGATGGTGACACATGTCACACAGCTAATAACTGTGCAAAAAAATTTGCTTCATGTTTTGATAGATACTTGGAAGATTTGTTTGATGACATCTATTTTGATATGAAAAGCTGCAGTAAAAGAGAAAATTTTTTCAAAATCTTTGAATCTCTTGCCATTAAAAAACTTAAGCCCTTGAAGAAAACCAGACCATAGATGGGTGTACATTTTATGTGTTTTGAAAGAATCAAAGATCTGTGGGATGCTCTTATGCATTTTATTTTCACTACTTGGATAAAACTGATAAAGGGAATTATTTTTCTTATGTTGAAACTGTATACCAATAAAAGAAATATTTCTGCAGCTCAGAAAAAATTGTATTCTTGCTTGCATTCCCAACAACTCACAAAGGATGCTTTTAGCTTGGAAAAAAAGAATACTAAATGGGTTATTTGTTATGCAAAACAAAACTTTATTGCATATGGCATATTATGCAGCGTATTACCAGAGTTCAACACATATATTAAATTATTTGAAACAAAATAAACCAATGCTTCATTTATACATTCCAGTATTTATAAATTGAGGGCAAAATTTTTCTCTTTTTTTTTTTTATGAAGCCAAAAAACATAGAGTGCACACATCTTATAATGATTTATTAAAGGTTGATGTCACAAATCCAGAATTCCATCTACCTAGCAAAGTAATATTTACTGGTGCAGAAGCTTCCAATCTCCTGAAGAAATTATCAAAAAATCATCCAATAGAAAAGAATTCCAAATTCTCTGATGAAAGCTTATACTAATACAGCACAGCATGTGAAACAGAAATTACCCCTTAAAAATTCATATCTAATTAGTTTTACCAGCATTAGATCCAGAGCTAAGAGGTAAAACCAGTACAATATTAGCTTTTTGAAAAATTATCATCTTTTATGTCCCATATTTTTAGTGATAATGAAAAGTCAAAAGTAGAGGCTGAAAATAAGGTTATACCAGAGTGATATTGATATCACCAAAGAAATGCTCTACACATCGGAAGAAAGTGGAAATCAAGTGAAGTGTACAATTGATAAATATTGGTCTAAAGTTTTTTAATTTAAAAGATAATTTCACAATGATTATAAGTATCCTACATTGGATAAATTGGTCAAAAGCCTGCCTAGTTGCTTCCATGGCCCATTAGTGGAAGTGCATTCAACTTATACACTTGTCACTGACTATAGAACCTCTCTTAAGATTGATTCCTAGATGCAGTGCAGACTATTAAATATGATTTAATGGCTTCTAAAGAAACCTCATATGGAAAATATAGCTAAAAGAATCCAATGACTGATCCAATTCACAAAAGAGATCTCTTACTGAATATGAACCGAGTTGGAAAACATATCAAGAGGACTTAAAAACATGTATTTCAGATGAGTCACCTGTAAGTCTCTGAAAAACCTTCTACATTAGCAGAAAAGCAAACTGCTTCTACCTCTGCATGTGCAGTTCTTGAGGAAATTTCTTCAACTGTAAATGAGGAAAATAAAAGTCAACCTTCCTGCAATTATGAAGTTCACCACAAAAGAAAGACAAGCCCACAATCATCAGAAAAAAAAAAAAAAAGCTGCAGAAATTAGATAATTTTTTTAAAGAATTAATTCAGGTAATTTAAAATATTTACATAAATATAGTAGTTTATATGTTTGAAAATTTATGGTTATTAATTTTGCAAAAAAGTATTAATTGACCTTTTAAATTATATCATTCAATGCTATAATGTGTAATTTTTCATTTCTCTCCCCCCCCCCTTCTCGAAACTCCAAAATGTCGGTAGTAAGTCCGTAAAAGCTTCAGGGGATTTTTTGGGGTCCCACAAACACCCCTGAAAGACTACCAAAGTTTTTTTTTTTTTTTATGTGTGTGTGTGTGTGTTTTGTTTTGAAGTATTGACACTTGTTTGAAGAAACATTTACATGATGTGAGAATTTTCTCTCTTTAATACTGCTAGCTTCAATTATTGAATATGTCACTTTCATTTTGGTACGTTAAAAACAGTCTTTGAGAAAATTTTAAAATGTATTTTTTAAAAGCATTTTAAATTTTTCTCTTAAAAAAAGTTGAAACTGAATTATTTTCATATATGCCAATGGGAAAAAAATACCCATATTTCTTCTACTGTTGAAATTAAAACAAAAGTTGAATATTTCTTATAAATCATAATTTTTAATTTTAACCATACGGATAACCATTGTTTAATCATCTATAGTGTGTTGGAAAGGACGGCAAATGTATTAATTTTAATTATGCTGCAATTATGGTAGGCTCTACTTAATGTGATCATGTTTTATCCATGGCTATTTTGATAACATTAAATGGTGCTAAAATAATGTTCTTCAAAACAGCAATGGAATTTAATTAATATAAATATAAACATGCCAATTTCACAGCATATATTTACAGCATTTTAATTAGGAAAAGGCAAAAAATTTGTGGATGTTCATAACATTTTTAAAAATAATTCGACTAATGCTGAACCCCTAATCTTAATAATTGGCAAGCATTGCTCATTGAAAGAGAACATGCCAATGTAAAAATGAAAAATTAGGCCAAAAAAAAGGTAACCTCAGCTGATATTTTCATGACTTTTTTTTTTCCAGAAGTAAAGAAAAGGTGGGGATATACAGAATTGTTTTTTCCCCTCTGAAAAAGAGAGACCTGTGTCTGATTGCCCTCAAAATTCTTAAAGTTATTCAAAATATACACCACACTAAGGTTACTATTTTTGTTTAATTCTAAGTATTTAAAAAGTGTTAAATTTAAGTTTTCTAAATTGAAATCAAACTGTTCAGTGACTAATTTTCTTACTTGTCAACATTTATTTGTCATTTAGCAATTTTTATAATCTGTTTTGACATTATTTGATGATTTGCTTCAGTTTAAAAATTTTATAAATACTTTGATATCGACTTGATAACAATAAGTGAAGTATTTTTTATGTTTTTACATACAAACAGGTGGGACTTCAGCAGTTCCATAACAGTTTCCGAATAATAACTTTAAATTGTGATGCTGATAATGAACGAATGTTGATACTTAATTTCTATAAATTCATTTCAGTTCCATCTAAATTTCCTTATCCGGAAGCCGAAAATCCTGGCTTCGAAGAAAATGGTAAAGTATAAATTTTGAAGTGCTATTTTACCGTGTTGAATATAGATTGTAATGTATATATTTACGTCTGATACCTAGTTTCGGGAATGATAGTTTTTTTTTTTTTTTTTTATTGCAGGTTATGATATTCCATTGGAGAATGTTGCAAGTAATCATAATTCAGAGACCACAGCAGCTAATAATACAAATGTTTTCTCGATTCAGGATGACTTGACCAAAAAAATTGTAAGTATTATGTGTACGTATAAGACTGTGTAATTGCAATTATTTCTTGTTTTAAATTATTAAAAATTTCTGGTTTATAATTTCTCCTATATATCTAATACTACTGTCTTGTTATGGTGTAAATTGTTTCATTTATGCTTCTTTTAATGCTCCATAATTTTATGAAATGAAAATTTCTGCAACTAGGATAATTTTTATGATTTTATTATTCTGCCACTTTTTTCATACTTTGTGTATCTTATTTAACATTTAAATATTTGCTTATTAAATATAAAATTATAAATTCATCTTTCATTATACCACTACACTTAAGTCATCTTAATGTGCAAAGAGTTGGAAGACATTATGAACATTATGGAAGACATTATTTGCATTGTCACTTCATCACTTAGTCATATTTTTCCAAATTTTCTACTTGTTGGGGGATTATGAACATTATGGAAGACATTATTTGCATTGTCACTTCATCACTTAGTCATATTTTTCCAAATTTTCTACTTGTTGGGGGATGAGAATGATGGTTACGTAGTGGAATTCTGTGATTTAAGGAGAATACTGGATGTAAATAAAATAACATCATTTTATAATTGGTCTTTCTATAACAGTGGTAGCGAACATTTTTGGGGTCATGTGCCCAAAGTTGAATGGCCACATGTCATTTCATTTAAGATATTAAATTAGAATTATTCATAAGTTAGCTCAAAATGCTTAGATTTGGAAACTGGAATCCATTTAACAATGAAAGTATTAAAACTCAGCAGTCTGTAATAAATTTGAATTTGTTTTAGCAAACATTAGCTGCTTCAACTTTGGCATATTCTTTGCCATGCAACAAGTAATATGATTGGCCCCAACAATGGAAGCGCCATAAATTGGGTCAATAAATATGTATATCATTTCTGTGGCGGTATATGAAAATCTTATATCTATTCTTAGGCCCTATACCAGTGGCATTATGGAATAAGTAAGTAAGTGAAACATTCAAGAACAGACTAAAACACCTATTTAAATTACAGTGTATCATTTTATTGTGATTCTTGATTAAGGAAATAATTATTCCCGTGGCGGTTTATGAGGCTCTGCATGCTGACTGTAGCATGCGTGCCATAGGTTCGCCATCATTGTTCTATAGACTTAACAGAATAGATGAGGAATTTATGTCATCCTATGATATATATATATAAACCTTAAAATAAAAAGATGTGATAACTTCTGCATCATATTTTTCAGGTCTGGCATTATATCTGTCAGCAGGCACTTGGTTACGATCCCATGTATTGCTTCATAATATATATTAGCTAAAACTTGAATATCTCTGCTGCCATCTACACATTTTTAGAATGATTTCTACTATTTAATTAATGTTTGAAGTGTAAAGAGTATATTTCCTTTTGTATATTTTTCGATTTCCACATTTCCAAAACTAAGGTGGTTTTGTCTTTTTCTGTAATTTTGGTTTTTTTACCTGCTTTATTCTCAGTAACTTTCACATTCTACCACTTTGTTATTTCAGGTTACCAATTTTTAAAATAAAAAAATTTCCTTTCCCTTGTTTCAAAATTTTGACTTGTCTTTCTTCTATATATATTTTGTATATGGTTCGTTCGCGTTGTGTCAAGGCAGGTTGTATCTAGATCAGGCATGCTAGACTTGGTGTCTCATTTGAATAAAATAGTCATCAGTGAACAGTAGTGCAGGACACAAGGGGAAATCCATTTTCATGCTTAACAGCATATTTAAAAGTGAGTAAATACATTAAATATTACCTAATGCTGTAGTTCTTAAAAAAATTAAAAAAAATAGGGACATAAGGATGGGTACCTGTAATTTCTTTTCAGACACTTGGCATCTTTTTCCTGCTGCAGTTTCCAAATATCTGAAGATATGCTGCCCAAACGAGCAATTTTTGAAGCAGTGGTCAGATGCATATCTGTTAATCTTGGTTATGCTGGTTATTTATTTTCTATTATTTAGAAAAGTTGTTCTAATGTATACTAATGAACATAATAGGTGGCATACAGTGTCAATTAGTGGTTTTCTGAGAATCGTGCATGCAAATGTCAGTAAAATTCAGGGTAACCACTTCATTGAAGTTCTGTGTTAAGAGTTGATTTTTTTTAAAGTTTAAAATGCCTGATCTAGATGATTGTCTTTTAAAATTTCTGAAAAACTTTTTTTAACTTTTGAATATTCTTATTTAATCATTTTTATTTTTAGAAATAATTTCTTTGATTATTTTGTTTTGCAATTCATCCGGATATAATTAAGAAACATGGCTCTGCTGAAAGTTCTTTCGGTTGTTATTTGATAAAGACAAAAAAAAAAAAAAAAAAAAAAAAAAGAAGTCGCCTTATTTTAATATTCAATAGAAAAAAATTATAAAAAGTGGGGGTTGGAAGCATGTTAGAGTTGAAAATAATCATAAAGTTTGTTACAACCAGTTTTTTTGTATGTTTGGAGGTTTGCTAGAGTCCTTTCAAATAACATTAATTGTGTGTAAACTGGGTTCATAATAGCATGGCTGTATATTGAGTCAACCAGAGAGATCTGTAGTTTTTCAAATCGAAATGCATTTATTTTGTCACTGCTTATAAGGATTGACCTTGATTGAAGCAGATGTGTAAATGTGATCTTTTCTGCTAACATTGTGTAGTTCTAGTGTGTGTTGTGGTATATATATATATATATATATATTATATATATATATTTTTTTTTCTTTTGAGTGCAGTGCTAAGAAGGGGAAACTCAAAATATTTAACTGATAAAAGATGATTTTCATCATATGCCCTTTTATTTTAAGAAAGGAAAAAATGCTTGCCAGACTGCTCATAAAATTTATGCTGTATATGGACAAAGTGCGTTTTCTGATGGTAGGGTTTGAAAATAATTTGAGAAGCGTAAATATTGCTTTGTGTATGGTGAATACAAAGGAATTGTATGTTATGAATTATTGCCACCAAATTGAACTATAAATCTGAAAAGTACTTTTCCAAATTAACAGTTTTAAAAGCAGGAATTGAACCAATTATTTGTTGAGGTGTCAAGATGGTTTCATACTGGCATTGCTCAACCCCACATTTTGATGATTGTCGGACAAAAACTTATTGAGTATGTCTGGAATATATTGTGTCAGTTCCATATTCACTAGACCTTTACCCCCTTGGATTTTTGTTTCTTCAAATCACTTCAGAATTCTTTGAACAACCTCGAATTCACTTCTTTGGAAGCTATATAAACATCATCTCCATAACTTGTTTACAAATAATGGACATAACGTGACATTAAAAAAGGTGTGAAGGGATCTGGCTGCTGGAGAAATGGTAAAAAGCTGTAGAAGAAAATTCTACTTTTATGAATCAGTGGGATTTTTTACCCTGATTCCTACTATTTTGTACTGCTTCATCTGTATTTATTATAAAAAACCCCACAGAATTTTCCAAATGATTCAAAATATGTATATGCAACTTTCTGGATACCCCCAAACATGTATATGTTGATCATGTATATGCTGTGTAGTGATGATTACGTACCATAGATAAACACTTCTGAAATTGATCAGTATTTCTAAAAATATAATTGAACATCAAGTCTTAAAGAAAGTCATGCGCACTGAAGACCAGAGTCGTTTGTAATCATATGTGGTTGTTTTAGAGAAAGTTTGTTGTATTATAATTTATAATTATTAAAATAAAGTTATGGATAAGAAACAAAAATTCAAAAGAACATTTTGCAGCTTGGTTTGAATGGCAAGAGGCCAAAATAACCTTGCATGATTCACCATTAAAAGTCAGTATGGCTCTAAACATCCTTTTCCTGGATGCTTTTGCATGAATTTTCTTTTCTTTCTTTTTTTTCTCCCCTTACTTGCAGCTCAGTTTTGTACTGTGAAACCAGTGAGAATGCTTCTACTTTTCCTCAGCCACTTATCTTTTTGCTCTCCTGCAGCTGGGATTCTAAACTATTAAATTGCCACTTTATGTGACAATGCTGTTTGAAATTTTAAGTCGTGATTCACTCACACTTATTATATGTTTAAGAGGACAAATTTCCACTAACGGTTTACAGTGTTAGACTGAGTTAGAGCCTCACCTCAGGAACCCATTTGCTAACAAATTCATCTGAGCCAACCTTTATTCATGAGGTAGTCCCATGAAGTCGCTTCAGTTCATTTATAGTACTTGGCTTCAACAATTTCTCTCTGAATGTAATACTGTCAAGATGAGGAAGAAAAAAAAAATATTTTGTGAAATTTCAGTCATCTATTTCATAGCTTAATTATTAAACTTTCTACAGCATAAAATAAATACTCCAAAATAAAATATAAAATAATCTATGTTATTTTTTTCCTTTATTCCCCCCTCCTTATCTCTCTTTTTTTTTGGGGGGGCAAAAGACATAAAATTAGAATTATTAATTTTTTTTTTTAAGTTGGCAGTTTCTTTAGAGCTAAAAGCGTAAACTGGTTATAAAATACATATTAAATTTTTAAAGGAAAGAAATGTATTAGGTGTACATAATTCCATTTTTCAGTCAGTTATTCTATAATTTCTTCTAAAAATAATCTCAAGGTTTGACTAAACACAGAACCACTGTTGCGTGGTGGAAATATGCACATTGATTCCTTTTTTCGGGTGGACCTTAAGTATATTTTTGACTTGATCATACGTGAAACTGCCTTATTTATGAACATTTTGCCGAAAATTATATTTAACTTTTTATTTTTAAAATTTCTTGTTTTTTTAGGGACTGTCAAAACTGCTGGAGAGAATTAAAAAGCAAATATTTTTTTCAGATGTGGTTTAGTAATTTTTTGAAGTTTTGTAAGCTTTTATGCTTTGCTTTTTTCATCATTGTTCCTGGAATGTATAGTAAAATCAAGGAGATTGTTTTTTTATTCCCCCTATCAAAATTACTTTGTATTAATGTAATATGTAATTATTGCAATTTGTTCCTTAATTCTTTTTACAGGAAAAGGAAAAATTACCAGCTGGTGCCATTCCTACATATGATTCACCTGAAACGGCAAAATTATTTTCTTCCTTACAAATTTTAACAGCAGTATTTGCATCTTTTGCCCATGGTGCTAATGATGTGAGGTAAGTATAACTTTATGTTCTTCTAGTGATATTAAATCTTTGATTTGAAATTAATTTTTTGTAAGTTTCTTTATTGCATACTATTCATAATAAGGAATATCTGAATTATAGTTTTATAATTGCATGGTTTACAAATTGTATTTTCTTGCTAATACTCTGGCAGTTAAACTTACAGTATTTTTAATTTTCTTTTTGGGGGTGAGGAGGCTATCACCTTTATATGTCATTTGAATAAAAATGAAAATATATTTTTTTTTGAAAAATAATATCATCGTGGGAATTAACGCATATAAAAATTAAGTGTTTCGCTTTTTATAAAAATTATCCTAACTGTTGAGTTATCTAGGGAAAAAAAGTGATATTGAAAATGGCTTTGGCATAATTAGTTTGGATAAAAGAGGTTCTATTGTAGTTTTTGTAAAGAGTATCCCTGTGTAATTTTACTTTAAATGTTTTCTGACTATATTTATATTTTTATAGTAATGCCATTGGACCAGTAATAGCTATATGGCTGATTTACCACGATGGGAATGTCAATCAAGCTACTGAATCTCCATTCTGGATCATGCTTTATGGTGGTGTTGGTATCAGTATTGGCCTTTGGGCTTGGGGTCAAAAGGTTATCAAAACAATAGGAGAAGATTTAACTAAGATCACTCCTTCCAGGTATAGTAAAAATGTATATATTAGAATTTCATTATTTTGATTTTTGGGGGGATAGTATTTAATAGTTATTAAATTATCCCCTTTTAGAATAGTTTGCAAGTTAATAAGAAAAACTAATAAAACAGCTGAATGTTAATGACTGTAATTAAACATTAAGTATGTAAAGTGTGTCAATGATTATTATACTTTGTTTAACAAAATTCCTCAGTGATTACTGACAGATAAATGATGTAAATTTTTAAACTTTTTTTTTTTCAATTTCATCTTGAATGGTCCAATGACTCAGTTATATAATAGAAATCATACATTGCTTAAAGGTAGATAGGATGGTTGCACTATATTGTCAATACAGACTTAACATTCATAAGTAAGTTGGCTGTAAATTAATGTGTAATAAAACATTATTTGCTTGAACCCAGCTGACTCCATTATTACATTACTACAATATAGATAAGCGCTACTCAAATGGTGTAGTGTTTAGGGGAGCCAACTGCGATACCAAAGGGCACTGGTTCAGATCCTGGAGAAGGTATGGTTGTAACTGTGCCCCTTCATAGCAGGCAATGGTGGCCCACCTGTGAGGTGCCTCCGTAATAAAGTGACCACCACTTCTGGCCTTAGTAGTGGGCAAATCGAAGTCAGCTAGGGGCAGGGAACAATATAGATAATATAAATATAATAAATTATTAAAAGGATATGTTAACTTCTCTTAACTGTAGCTTTGCTTTCTACTGATTTCTGAGATTAAATTACTGTAATATTGCATTTGTACCTTGTTTCATCTTGGCGTTGATCTTTCGTATTCTTGTTAATAGTAAAATATTTTATTTATATGATGTATAAGGTTTTGCTTTGACTTAATATGGATTTGTTTTCACTCCTCAGACTTCATCTATGGAAGTAGTTTCTTTATTTTAGTAGCATTTGGCATTGTACATGGAAATATGAGAGGGGATGAAAATAAGAATTATTTGACTAACAAAAGATTGAAATCTTAATTGGTGGAATGAGGGAGATGTCACTTTGAGGGATGAAGTAGACTAATCTGCTCAGTATGCAGATTTGCTGGTGGGAGATGCTTAAATTGTTGTTTTTATTTAATAAACTTATTTTAACTTGTTTCTGTTTATCTTTTATGTTCTTCAAATTAACTTTCTGCTGAATGTCCGATAACAAAATTGCTTGAATGGATAACCCAGCTCGTTGCCCAATCGCATTGAACATATATGGCATATCTTACTAAATACTCATTCCTAGCAGTGGTGCAGTCTACTGTAATAACTTATCAGAAAACCTTATTCAAAGTATATACACATAGTGCAAATTGTGGATTGTTATTCAAGGTGATCTCATCCTTTTCAAAAAGTCATTTAATTTCTGATGGTTATTTACCTATATCATTGCAACCAGTACAGTATAATTACTTTTGAATAAAATGCCTGTGTACAGTTTGCTTTTTAAATTGTTATTCTGTATTATTTTCTCACAATTTTTATACCATCTTGGGTTATGTAAATTTCTGAAATCCAAACTTTAAAAATCTGATTGGTTTCGTAACCAAGGCCTATATTACAATTAACAGTATTCTTCTTGAAATTTATCCCTGAAGTTTATTATAAGGGTGCTATGCACTGTAAAATGGTAGGGTATGTAAAAAATGTGATGATTTGTCAATTTGAAATTGCTTCTGCTTCAATTTATTGATATGTGATTGCATTTATGTTCAGGGTAGAAATAAGAAAAGTTCTGCTGATGATATTTTGTGATGTAAATGATGAATAGGGTTAGCAGTTGTATTATTATTATTTTAAAGTGTAGTTATAAGTTAATAAATTTTGATTCTTATAAGTAATCTTGGTTTGAGTAATTTATCCTCAAAAGCACCCGCTCATTTAAAATCAAATGAAGCACAGAATTCTATTTAATTTGAAAACTAGAAAAAAAAATTAGTAAAATATTAATTATCTCAAATGTTTTTCAGTGGATTTTGTATTGAAATTGGAGCAGCAACAACAGTTCTCTTGGCTTCAAAGATTGGACTTCCCATCAGCACAACACATTGCAAAGTTGGTTCAGTTGTATTTGTTGGCTGGGCTCGATCCAGAGCTGCAGTAGATTGGAAATTATTTCGTACCATTGTTTTAGCTTGGGTACTGACACTTCCAATTTCAGCTGCTTTATCAGCTATTGCAATAGCTGTATTAAAAGCAGTAACAAGTTAACATCTCTTTACAGATTTTATTTTGTCAAAATGTACAGAAATACGTTACTTTGTACAAAACTTCCACTGTTGTTTATCGAGTATTTATAATAAGACTTTTTTAACAAAAGACTGACTTTTAATGCTTTGTAAGTACAGGATGTAAGATAAGCATTAAAGTGTTATTTTATACAGTATATTGTACCAATTTTTCATGTATTGTGCAACCATAAATGCTGAAAGGTGGCTGCATGCAATTCTCAGATATGATTGTACAGTTTTTTATGATTTTTAATGTTCATCAAACATACTTTGAAATTTAAAAATTTCTATTCTTGGAATTGGTATTTAAAATTTCTTCAAACTATTTTTCTAGTCTGAGAATGTGAAATCCAGGTGAAAAACATTTTCTAAGTGAAAATTCAGTTAAGATATGACACATTTTTAAGGAAGAAGTCTTCTAATTGTAATAAGAGTTTGATGAGTATTTTAATGTGCATATTTCTTTTAAAAAAGATTTGTATGCATGGTAAATATATGTGAATATTTACAGTCATCTTATACATATTGAAACTCATTATTTCAATGGAGCAAGTGAACGATTCATAGGCATTGTGATGAAAATACATTGATGTCAACTCTGAAATTTTTTACACTTAATATTGAAAATTTGCTCTTTATTTTCACAAGTATTTTTGAGCATTGTATCATGTTTTGGGAAGCTTAATACTTTTTTCCTCCAAAGGCTTCAGTGTAATAAGTATATACTGAAAATGTTTTTTAAAATGTGAAATAAAGTATTTTGTTTTGGAATCTAGTCCTTTAATAATTTTTTATGCTTAAATAAGGAGAAATATTACTACAAAATATTTGAATTACAACAATATGACACTTAAACTTTTCATATATTAACTTCAAATTATACCCCCCCGTAAGAAGAAAAATTAGTTTTTATAAATTTAAAATTATTAATATATTTTCTTATTACAAAGCAAGTATAACATCCAAAAATGTACACACACACAAAAAAAGGGGGGGATGGACAGTTCTATATCTCCTACTCTACTGAGCTGACAAACAAAATTCAATTTGCATTTTTCATGTCTCAAAAGTGTAATTTAGGATATTAGGTATTTTAACACAAAATTGCACTTTTTCTGAAATGACATGGCAATTTGTTTCTATATTTTCACTAGTGGTTAACTTTTCCACGATATAGGCAGTGAGCCTTATAAATTCACTAAAACATTTCAGATATCTGGTCCTAGAAAATAAGATCATCAGAACCTTTAATTTGAATGATAAAATTTAGCTATTTTGTTATTTAACAATGATTTGATGAACTGGAATATGCTCAATGGAGTTTTTTTTTTTTAGTTTTCTTTCAATAATTTGTGATTTACAAGAAACTGATACAGTATTTAATACACTTGGAAAATAAATTAAGAGAATTTTCAAATTTTATCGAATTGTTTGAAAAGAACTGAATTGAATAAAAAAACCACTGCTTCTAGATAAATATGCAAATCTTGTATGCCAAACACATAAGCGTACACATGTGTACAGGTGGAGCCAGCAGAAAGCGGTAAGACGCAGGCTGAGACGAATTGCGTTTGCTAGCACACCTCGGTGAATTTCTCGGTGTTATCTTGCAGCAATCGGTTATATTCACATCATAACAGTAAAAATGAGTAACCACCAACGTTTAGATGATGGAATGAGGTGGCGAATTGTAGGGAGGCTAGAGGCAGGCCAATCGCAAGTCCAGTTATGCAGAGAGTTTAACGCCCAACGTCGTGTGTAACCTATGGAAACAGTTCCAGGATACTGGATCCATTGAGAGAAAGCCTGGGCAAGGTCACCCAAGAGCAACAGCAGCCAGAGAAGATCGCTATTTGTCTATTTTAACAAGGTGTAACAGAAAGGCTATAGCTCTCTCGGACCTGTATGCAGCCACAGAAACCCATGCAACTAGGGTGACTGTTTCCAAAAGACTGAACGAAAGAGGGTTGTTTGCCAGAAGACCGGCTGTTTGTGTCCCGCTCACGCCTACAGACAGGAGGTACAGGCAGCATAGTGATTGGAGTACGGAGCAATTGGCGACCGTTCTGTTCACCGAGGAGTCCCATTTTAGTTTAAACAATGATTCTCGCCGTACTTTCATATGGAGAGAACAAGGGACACGCTACCTACCCTCCAATGTCCACAAAATCAACAATTATGGCGGTGGTGTAATGGTCTGGGCAGGCATCATGTTAGATGGCTGCACACCTCTCCACGACTTTGACAGAGGCACTGTGACTGGTGTAGGGTATAGGGATGATGTCTTTGAGCCCTATGTTCCCCTTTTCTGGGGTACAGTGGTCCCCGAGTTCATCTTATAGGAGGATAACGCGAGGCCACATAAAGTTCTTCTGGTCGACAAATTTTTTGAGAGTGAGGATATTTGCCGGATGGATTGGCTAGCCAAGTCTCCAGACTTCAACCCTATAGAGCCTGTCTGGGATGCTCTGGGCAGGGCAATTGCAACTCGCAGTCCCCCTCCGAGAACCATCCAGGAACTGAAAACAGCATTGCTGAATGAGTGCGACCAATTGCCACAAGCATTGACAAACTGCCTTATTTCCAGTATGACATCACACTGCAAGGCCTGTAAGAGGAGACCATATTCCCTATTAACCCATTTCTTTTGTGTCCTCTACAACCACTGTTTCAGACCTTCAGACTCTCATGAGTGTTACACACGAATATGTTGCAACTGTTGAATGTTTATTTTGTGTGTATTATATTAACCTATGTTCACACCAAATTTTATTAAAATCTGTCCAGTAGTTCTGGAGATCATAGATCAAATATGAAAATTCTCTTAATTTCTTTTACCAGTTAAATCTTAATTTGGAATGCAAGAATTATTTCAATTCATACAAATAGCTTACTCAGAAATTGTGTAAAACCGTAGTGCTTTACTTCGCTAATGCATTCTCATTAGGATTGATGAATTTAAAATATAGAAAAGGCAAAGTCAAGGGTTAAAGTTCGGGTGAGCAGTGTGATTGCATCCTAATTCACTTAATTTCCGCGAATGGCCTTAGAGCAGTGTTTCCCAACCTTTTTTGCTATGCCCCACCCAATCTTTTCTAAAATTTTTATGCTCCCCTCCAGCATATACATAATTTTTAATATTTAAAAATTGAAATATTCATGAAAGAAACTTGAATGATAGCTTTTAGGAAGAAATGACTACGAAATCTTGTGAGCAAAGACAGTAAGTGAACTTTCAAAACGGAGAACTGAAATTCAAGAAGTGAAAGTTTTTTATTTTAAGTATTAGTAATTTTTATTATTTAAATTTAGCGAGTTCCTAGCGCTTGATGCTTACTGCAAAGAAATTTTATGTCAGGTTCCAATTTAGATAACTTGAGTCTCAAGTCTCCCCCCCCCTTTTTTTTTTGTTTGTTTGTTTGTTTAGCAGCAAATCATTTATGGCACTAAATCTGCATTCAGCAAAATAAATATGAAGATGGAAATGGTAACAATAGTTCTCTTGAAAATTTTGTTGCATTTGGATATCTGATTCTGGTTTCCTCACTAAGCTATGTCATCACTCCTTTTATATTAAATAACATTTTAATTGACTCATCATTTTGCATTTCTGCGAGTTCTTTTTACTGCATATTTGGAATATCAGCCAAATCCATTAGCATCATCCAAGTTGGAAAATCAATTTGTTTTAAGTTATAAAATCTTTTAAATCAGCTGATAAAATTTTCAGATGATTGACAATAATAAGTATAGCGGTAGTCACGTCATATTTTTGGAGCCAATGAGACTTTTCAAAATTTTTGTGGTAAATAGTATATGCCTGATATAATTCAACAAAGATAATGAAAACAAATATCTTCCTTTTGCATCATCAGTCTTATTTGCTCCTTGAAGTTGTTTATTTAATATATTTAATTTTTGAAAGATATCGGCTAAATAACTCACAATTGCCTTGTTATCATCCGTTAACGAATTTTTCATTTCAGGTTTGTTGCTTAAAAAATAACTAAGAGTATCAAATAGTTCCAAAAATTTTCAAGCAGTTCCCTTTCGACAGCCTTCTTACTTCAGCGTGAAGTACAAGTTTCATACAGTCTTCATAAAATAACTTGAAAAGACGTTCACATTTGGCCTTAGCTTTAATAGCATTGATACACTTTATAACTGAATTTAGTACTTCATTTAGAACAGGCGAATTGTTTTTAGCTACCAGGTTTTCTCTGTGAATAACACAATGCACAAGAAGCATTTCTGGATTCTCATCTTTTATCAATTTTAAGCAACCCTTTTTCTTATTCCGTTCTTTATTTTATTTTGCAACCATCATATTAGGAGCACCATCTGCAGTACAAGAAGTATTATATTTTTATTCGTATATTTTTTATATCTAAAAAATTTTTTAGCTTACTATAAATATCTTTGGAGGTAGTGGTGCTTTCTAATGATTTACAGAACATTTCTTCGGCAAAATTTCCTTTATGTTACAAGTACGGCCTCACTGTCTCTCACAGTTGGTTCATCCATTTGTACCAAAAATTTTCTTGTTTTCAGCTTTTCAACAAGTTGTATTTCAATATCCTCACTCATTTAATCTTTCTTCTGCAAACAGTATTGTTATTTAGTGGCATAGCTTTAACGTCTTTTTCTAGAACAATTTTAAATGCTGATATTGATGGTTTGATTAAATTCGCTATAGCATGGCTTTTCCCAGATTAAACGATGAGTAATGAAATTTGATAAATAGCCTCCAGAGCACGATTAACAGTTGCATTATGAGCAGTAAACAGACACTTTAATATTACTCTATTTTCAAAAATTTTCCTTAAAGTGTGAAAATAATTCGAATCTGAATTACTATCAGCATTATGTTTCGCCTTCAAATGGGCCTCAAGACGACCTAGTTTCATTCATTTGTTGGTCAGGCATTATTGGCATAAAAGGACAAAAGTTGACCATTTATGGACCAGGTAGGAAACTTTTAAATATGCCTCCGAATACCGACGAACGATTTTTCTTGCTTGTAACCCTCATTTCATTAAGGGCTGAAAGAAAGAAATATAAGATCAATATAAACAAAGCTGAAAGCAGCTGCTGTTGCCATTCAAGAAAAGAATAATGTACCGTTTGTCATTCCTACAGTAAAAAATAAAATAAATTCGTTGGCTGAAATGCGCAAGAAACGTCTGGAAAGCATAATGTGTCAGTTATTTAAATGTCCATGTCTACAGCGAGAATTCTTTATAAAATATTTGAAATGCACCACAATTTAAAAACTTCTTTACGCATACATCACTTACATTTTTCTTTATTTTGGGGAATAAAAAATTAAATTCCGAAAATTTTTGACTTCATGAAACATATTTAGAACGTCCTTTGTCCCCTTAAACTCTGGACAAGTCCATTTTCGAATTGCCCCCCTTAATAGTCGTATTGCTTCCTTGTGGGGAGTGGGCCCCACGTTGGGAAACACAGCCTTAGAGCATAAAATTGAACTAACTACCTGATAAAAAGTCTACGTAATTGTATGCCAGTATTGAAAGAAACAATTGATCAGATAAGAAATGGCTGCAATTTGTTTTGGAAATGATGCGTAAATGGTTACCCGCGAGGATATTCTGTTTGGCATCAGTTGTACCATTATTGGCGACTTTATAGTCTGCCCTGGCAAAACGGAAAAGTACCTAAACAACTTTTCTTCCTCATATAGAATATCAGATGGTGAATTATACTTCCAGAAATGGCTTTTCGCCCCTTTCTCCACATTAACATAC